TTTTATAAATTCAATATTATCATATTATATTCTAGAATTTTAACATAACATAACATAAAATGTGTTGAAACATAGAATTTTAACGTGGTGTATTTCGTTCTTTCTTCCAGGCATTATCAGATAGAGAAAAGTCAGCTATTCAAAAGGAGTTAACAACAGTTGGTCTTCAATGTATACAGCAACATCCTCTATCACTGTCTGACATCAGGTCCTTTAGGAACAAAATGATCCCTGATGGGAAGAAACCAAAGTGTTTCGTAGCTTGTCTGTTCAAGAAAATCGGAGTGGTAAGTAAAGTTTCGTACAAATATAATATACAAGTAATATTTCGTTTTCTGTCTCCGTAGTTAGATGGTCGTGCACTTTTAAAGAAATTTAAATATATATATTGCCATATGATGACTCTTCTAATATGGCTTGTTTAAAAAGTAATATGAGTAAGTAGTAAGTTAAGTTTGGCTGGAATAAACTCGTATGGAGTAGGCCACCTATTTGCTTTTTAATAAAAAGTATTTTCAGTAACTAAGTAAATTAGTTTTACTGAATGACTGTAGTCATTCTATATTTAAAGAAAATAGAATAATAAGGATAGGTTTGAATTAAAAAAAATAGATGTAATTTTATGTCTGTGGTTGCAGATGGATGACATGGGAATGATATCACCAATGAAAGCGCAGGAGAATGCCAAAAAGGTCTTCAAAGACAACGAGGAACACATTAAAAATGTCAATGAGATTATGGAGAAATGTTCTTCAGGTAACTTTTGAAGATATGTAAAATTTAAAATACATTATTTTAATAATACAAAATAATTATGAAAGCACAGTTTTTAAGTCAAAGATAAAATTGTTCTTACAGTGAATCAACAGAACACGAGTGATGGAAACAAAGGATGTGATAGAGCTAAGTTAGCTTTCAATTGTTTCACAGAAAATGCTGACAAAGTGAGTTTTTGTAATGATACAAGTAGGGAATCCCTCTGATGGTAAATCGTTAGTGCATAACTAAGGAGTTTACTTAGCATTGTTGGTCATACATTGGTCGCAAGTGCAACAAGTCTCGGTTTGGTAGTCAAAAATATTATTGGGTTTTTAGGAAGTTCTTAGTAATGGGTTTGTAAAGGAGATTTTAATGTCCTACTTGGTGTAAAATAGCAACAAGTTTGGGCTAATTTATTTTTCAAAAAAGGTAGCATTACGTAACGGCGTCGTTGGGCGAGTAGTCAATAGTGCGACTGCCCGGTCAAAGATCTCGGGTTCGATTCCCGGGTCGTACAAAGTGTTGATGGGTTTTTTTTTAAAAAACTCAGTAGTAGCACCGAGTCTGGAAATGTGGCATATTGCATATGCCCGCTGAGCCTATTGCCATATGGCAATAGGCACACCCCATATTCCATGGGACAAGTAATGAAAAGTGGGTGTTACATTGTAGAGGTACAGTGGCATTAAATGCCGTAATGTGCACCTCTGCCTACCCCTTCGGGGATAAGAAGCGTGATGATATTTATTAATTATATTTACATAACATAACTAGTAAACGCTGGGTGCAACATTTAATATGCTTGTCTCTGGTAATCTGATTTTAATAGAAATAAAATTATTATGTAGTCGCAGTAAAACGTTATTTTTTCACGGCAATAGATTAGTTAATTGATGTTGCTAGATATATGAAGTGTTCTAGTTTTTAGTTAATAAGTGTTATGTGTAAGCAATAAGTACCGATATCTTCCGTATCAGTTTTTTGCTCTAATCCCAAATGCAGATGAATGCTCACGATTTTAATATTTTTGTTGTCATTTTTTTCAGTATGGATTCGACTTTGATTTCTGATGAGTCATCGTTATCAGCATTTTCAATGGAAACATTTGAAATTATTATTTTTATAGTATTTATTTAAGTTGTGTTTTTTTAATGTTTTAATGTTTTAAATAAACTACTAATTTATTAAGTACGTGCCAGTTTTTTTACTACAACCTTTTATATTTGCATCGTTAAAGGTTAGAGTTAGTAGTTTTTGCAATATCGTTATAATTTTAATTAGTTTTCAGTTAGATTGCTTCATTGACTTATGGGTAGACGAGCTCCATCGTAGGTCAAAGGACGTAGCAGGTTACCGGGGCTCCAGCTTGAAGTGCAGGAGTAGGAACGGGGTGGTTTTTAGTCAGAGAGAGTCAGACACTCCCTCTCACCTCACCCGGGCGGGAGAAGTGATTCGATGATTTTCCCTCATTAAAAATGTTTACTGTAATTTTATTTTATAGATCTCGAACCTTAAATACCCAGACAGGTTTAAGTTTAAGGAAGGTTTACCACCACCGCCACGCTTGGCAGGCGCCAAAAGATAATGGCAAACCCTTTTATATTGAGGAGGCATCACGTCCAGTAGGCGACTGTCATACAATGTTATAGGAAACTTAACTCAACTTGGACCCATTTTTGTGGCCTCAATGAATATAATGTAGAGAGATGGTAATTATTATCATGTTATCAGACAAAGGACGTCTCCGGAGCTGCGGACAACCTAAAGAATTACCGGGGCTCCGGTTTAAAGCAGAAGTAGGAACGGGATGGTTTTTAGTCAGTGACAGTCTGATACTCACTCTCGCCATACCCAAGGTGGAAGAATTTATTGGATAATTTAACCTATTTAGCCATAAGACGTTTAATGATGAATATAGGCGTCATATTTGAGTTTCAGATCGGTCAGTTGGTGATCAGAATTTAAGAACTTTCTTTAAGTTTAATTATTGGTTACTAAAATGAGTAAAAAGATTTGTTATAACAATTAACAAAATTGCCGTGCCTACGGACTGTGTGCTCTGAATTAATGATTAATAAATGATTTATATTATTATTTCATTTTTTATTTAAGTTTATAAAACACTGACGTAAATAGAGAGTTATCATTTTGACTGGTTATACCACCCACAGAAATATTAAAAGCGGTATTATATCTATGATGCCACTATAGCTACTAAATGAATGGACCATTTAGAGTGCAGTTTTTAATCAGAAGTCTATTCTTTACTGCGGTGGCTCTTAAAATTACGAAGGGATCATGAATCATCATCAAGGTGGTTTATCCAGACGGGATGGCAATATTTTTTAAAGTTTTAAACCAAATGAACTATAAATTTGATCAAAGTTAAATCAATAAATTCTTTCGTTAAGTAGGTAGATTTTGAGATATTATCTGATATTGATATTATTATTATATTTTATTAGCAAACCCGGCGAACTCCGTTTCGCCACCAGATGGGTTCGTTTTATGTAACATTTCGTTTGGTGATTAAAAGATAAAGATTTTTTTTGTTTTATGTTTTATAAACCTTACGGAGCCCGAGATCTTTCCAACGAATGCAAAACCGTAGAAATCGGTTCGTGCGTTATAGAGTTAGACAAGCGCTAAAGTGGCGTTTGGCTAAAGGCACGATAAAACTCGCAGTCGGGGATGATCGATTATGATTTAAAGAAAAATGTTGAAAGTCTTAATTCGTCGATGAAACAATGGCGACAGTTTACAGCCGTCAGTTCGCCGACGAGCTAAACTTTGTTAGTGAATACAGTTTGAAACAGCGCTGAAGGCTCGGTCGATCTCTAGGCTGCCTCGTCTGAGGACACGGTGGAACACACCGTAGCGGAATGCCCTGCGTGGGCTGAGCACCGCCGTGCCCTCGGGGAAGTGATCGGCGATGGCGACCTCTCGCGTCCGGGCCTAGTGCAGGCCATGATGCGGAGCGAGGGGGACTGGGATGCCGTCTCCTCCTTTTGCGAAGCAGTCATGCTAGCTAAGGAGGAGGCGGGACGCGTTAGGCAGCGAAGCGCTGCCTCCTCGCAACCCAGCCATCGCGAAGGACACACCGGGCGTCGGGGATCGCGGGACGATCTCCGGCCACCGTAAGCGCGGGCCTGCGGACGGCGAGCATGGGTGGCTCCCCGTCCGACCAGAAACAGACCCGAGCGTACGACGCATCGCGTTCCGCGTGCGCCTCAAAGAGCCATCAGACCACCACAGATGGGGCCCAATAGGGCCGATGCCGATTCGGAGTCGCGGAGAACCTAACGGGTAACCGGGGCTCCGGCTCGACGTGCAGGAGAAGGAACGGGGTGGTTTTTAGTCAGTAAGAGTCTGACACTCCCTTCCGCCTCACCCAGGCGGGAGCAGTCATTCGATGAATTTCCCCCCTTAAAAAAAAAAAAAAAGGCTGCCTCGTCGACGAATTCGACGCAGCTTACAGCCTAGAAACTGTTTCTTAGAGAATAGTATTGCAGGAAGGAAACCTGACTTATTTTTATATAGTAGATTGTGGTACGTGATTCTTATCATTTTTAATTTTCTTACTTGTTTTAATTTTTATCTTTTTTTATTATAGTAGGTATTACATGCTAGTGGAAATAATTCAATAGTAGTTCAATCGTGAATAGCTGATAAAATCGTGTGCATCACATTTATACTAGAAAAAGTAATTTGTTTAATTGTAAAGGTCACTGCTGTTGATGTCTGTATCATGATGAGTTTGCAGATTTATCAGTTCTATCCAGTTGTAACTGGTTTCTAAGTGTAATTCGTTTGGCTTTCAATATTTTATTGATAGACTAGCTTTTTTATCTGTTCTGACAGTTCAATGAAAGTAATATTTTCAGCTCGTATTTATGCTAAAGAGTTTCTACTGTCCTTATTTTTTGTGGCAGATAAATAAATATATATTATCACCTTTTTTGTAACGTCCTTTTTATGGTGTAATGAAAAATGCAGGTTTTTAAAGATGAAAGTAATTGTTGTAGGTAAATCAAACAAACGACTATAGATGAATTAATTATAATATGATTAAAAGTAAATCTTATAGTAGGTCCGCAATCCGTGCTGTAATGCTAATGTTAGCTCTCTAACACATAACATTAATAAATTAAACCTTATTGCATATAAACATAAGGGTGCAAATATTTGTAGTGCATCCACGTGTAATTGGAAGCAGTTCAGGAATCGTCTTCGCGATTCCTTTAAAACTCAAGGTCGAATCCGAGCTGTGAAAAAAGAAATTTGCCAGTATTAATTATCTAGCATTAGGGAATTCAAAGTTCTGTATCGTTAATCACTATGTCAGATAAATAAAATCAAAATGGCGTTATCGAGATTAAGAAATGTAGTAGGTTTTACATAGCAGTTTAGTTTTTATATGATATGTGGATAAAATTAGTTCTACGCTAAATGAAACCCGTTTCCCGTTGTCATGGCATAACTTCAGAACGGCTAGACCAATTTAGTTGATATGTTTTGTTGTCTTATTGCCAGGAGAAGGTTCTTGTGACAGTAAAAAAATCCTGAAAATCCTACGGGAACGGGAGATAACGGGATTGCGCGTACGAAATCACGGGCAGAAGTTAATTACTAATAAATCACGATAAAATAAGACTAATAATTGTGACACATACTTGTTCATAGTTTTGGATGAAGCAGTTGTATGCCAATTTTGCTCTCTCGCAGCCTTTCTCTCCATCAGATACTTCTTCGTCGTTTACTGAAACGTAAGAACAAAGATAAATTGTAGCAGATCTTAGTTGACGCACGTGTCTTCAATGAGATATTGACGTATTGTTAACAGAATCGATACCTATATCTATTATCTGTAGCGTAACTATACTATTCGAGGTCTTTGGTAAATTCATCAGATGGCAACAACCTAAAACCAAAAGATCAGGTGCGACTCTGGACGGAGGCCCCTTTCGGCTGGGGGCCCGTCGCATTTTGCCGACTTGCCACCCCGTAGTTACGCCACTGTTTATTATTCAAATTGCCCATGGTACTTGTAAATTGTACCTTTGATCTCTATCATTTCAAAAAAAATATCGGATGAATTTAATATAAAATAAACCTTGTTAATCAATATTTTCATAATTATGTTTAGGCAATAAGTGACAAACGTTAAACCCCTGATGACCACCACCAGCTTCTGTTGGGAGAGTACTACGGCACATCCCTTGAGAGGCCTACATTTAGAAGAATCGAGTATGCAATCTAAACGTATGTATTTATTACCTTTAGCACAAGTGGTGAGGAATTTCTCAATACTTTCCAACTCTCCTTGATCTTCAAATACTTTCTTGGCGTTTTCTAGCGCTGTCAGGTGGGACAAAGTACCTTTATCGTCAAACTGGAATGCAAATAATAAATTCGATTATTTTCAGTGTTTGTTTACTATTTTAGTTCATTTTGTCATTTAAGTTTTTTTTATAACATGTATCATCACAGTCAAGGAAACAGGGCCATCCTAAAGTAATTTGGAGTAACAAGGACAATCTGTAATCAGCACTGGTGTTCCCGTAGGTGCAGTGATGACACGGTGACCATACAGCGAAGATTAAGTTATCTTTTCAGTATGTCTTTCTCTTTTTGCTCGGTTAATACTTTCAAACTTTATTAATATTGAATAGACCTTTATAATGATTGTGATTGCAATTGCTAGTAGGTTTTCTTTAAAAAAGTGTGTGGACAATATTTACCAATCCAAGTTTGTTGAAGATACAAGCTGAGAAGCATCCAGCATTTTCGCCATCAGGGAAAACTCTGTTCTTAAAGGCAGACAGATCCTCAATTGTTAGGGGATGTTCTTTAATACATTCTGCACCAACTGTCAAGAACTTTGCTTCTATGTGAGCTTTCAGCTCATCAGTTATTGCCTGGAAATAAAAAAAACATATTAAGTGTGTTTTGTTAAGAGTGACACAGATACAGTAATTAGTGACTTAGTGGTTCTTCCCTTTGGTTTGTTATTTAAGTTGGGTTGGTAATAAATAACATTAAATTTTTGACCACTAGTACAATACTATTTAAAAACATTTTTATTCGATGATAACTTGACTATTTTTTATGAGATAAGCCAGTAAACGAGCTGACGGATCACCTGATGGTAAGCAATCACCGAAACAGGAACCCCAGGGGCGTTACAAGTACGTTACCGGCATTTTGGGGATTGAGAATTTTAGGATTGTTAGGGATGCAGAGATTAGGGAGATTAGAGAAGGGTCCGGTGTAATAGGGCATCCGAATGAACTAATGACTAATGAAAATACGAAGGATAAAGGTAAACAATGTTAGATGCTGTCATTGCCAGAGTTAACCTAACCGATGACAACACTAACTGTCGCTCGAGTCCACTTAAAGAATTCTATGTAGAAAATAGCAAATACTTGTAAAAGTTTCGACTAGTAGAGTCGAAACTTAGGCAATACTTACCGAAGCATTCTTTAAGAACACCGCAACAATAATACAAAACACAACACCAGAGTTGAACATTGTTAAGTAATTCTAATTTGTAAATCACAATGAAATTCGAGAAACAACTGATACTACATTGTAGTATTTGGTGGGTTTTATACTAAAACAAAAGGAACTTAAAGAAAACCAATATCCTGTGTAGACAAGGCTTCGATACGGAGACAAATCGATTACGTCTCCATTAAGAGATAACAATAGAAGTATAAACAATGCTGATGTTTCCCTTACAACATGATTGGATTTATTTTAGGTACAGAAATGCACGATTTGGCACCGTAAACCACATTAAAAGATAATTCTTAATGAAGATACCTTCTTGAGATCACCTTAGTGGTCACTGTCAGTACCTGTAATACAGCACAGGGTTTCCTAAATAGACCAAGTCTAAAGGTCTAATACATCCTTGGGTCTATCTCAGTTCTTACGTTAACACGTGGAAATGTGGAAATCAAGTCAAACTCACTTAGGTTGTTAAACCAACCTGTACGCAGTTTAGAATACAATAAGGTAGTACCTATGTATGAAGTAAATTAATCTTTAATTTACAAAAAGATCAGTTTAATTTGAAAACATTATCTATAATGACATAACGTATTATGCGTGTGTACGTAATGATAATTATTATTTGATCTGTTATGGCAAAGTCATTGATAAACAAAAGGGATATTTTGATACATTTCCTGTCGTTACGGGTATTATGACATGAAATACTGACTATATCATTACATAAATCGCTTTATAATATTTAGTGATTAAATATAAATAGCGTTGCAGTATTGATTCTAGAGCATATCCAGCAAAATTTTCGAAGGTGTCAGGAGTGCAGAACCAGTTAAACCATGTATAAAATAATTTCTTTGGTTTTCTGCATAGCCGTGTGTTTGAACAGGGTTCACGTAAGTTCGTCGTTGTGCTGAATATTTTTATAATTTTAATTTTTAATTCACAAATTGATTATTTTCGTATCTCTTTTTAGGGAAATGCAGAGGACAAAATAGCTATTATGACTGCTGTGAAACCATTTGTAGAAGAGTGTGCTAAGAAACATGGCGTCACCTTTGAAGCACTCCTAACTGCTAAAGCATCAGGCAAAATCGATGGCGTTGAACCTTGTTTCTACAGTTGTGTTTATAAGAAAACAGAATTTGTAAGTACTGGTTCTTATGAAATCAATAAGGCAGTACCAAAAAAGTTTGGTTGAGTATTACATACTCCTGATTTAATGATCCTGTTTAAAAAAGTTTTACCTAGTGGTTGGTGGAAAGGTGGAGTCCCGTCACTGAGAAAAACACAAATCATATCGAAAGCCAATGAAAGCCAATGGACCTCCTCTAAAAAGAGAGGTTTGCATAAATCAGATGTATCAAAGTGAGGAGGTGCTGCCCGTCTGTTTAATACGTCGTCCCATAGCCGACTCTTTAGACTTCCATAAAATTGGATACCTGATTAGTGGAACCAGAATAAGAGATGGACTACAAAACTACTATTTACTTTCTTTGTTCTAAAAATGTATTTAATGTTTTTTGTAGTTGAATAGTAAGGGCGAATACGATGTGGATACTGCTTTAGCCAAGCTCAAGAAGTACATTAGCAATGATGATGATTACGCCAAACTCTCACAAGTTGGAAAAGATTGTGCATCAGGTATGATATTCAGATGACCGTGGTATTCTAGTCATTTTTAGATAATAGCTAATTTTTTCAGTCATCATTTTTTATTCAGTTAATTTTTTGATAGCTTTATCAAAAAATTAACTGACTGCCTCATTGACCGAGTGGTCGCAAATGCGACTGACGCAAGGGGTTTCGGGTTCGATTACCGGGTCACGCAAAGTTTTACTGGAGTTTTTAAAAATGTCAGTAGTAGCACTGAGTTTGGAATTGTGCCCGGTATATGGCAATAGTCTCACTCCCTATTACATGGCACTCATAACATAAATAGTGAAAAGTGGGTGTTACATTATGCAGTGGCATTAAGTGCCGTACTGTGCACCTCTGCATTCGGGGTAAAAAGGCGTGATTTTATATTATATGTGTTAAAAATAAATTAAAAAAATCACGTTTAACTTAAATTAATTAAAAAAAACGGCAAAAAACTGAGAACAGATCCAATCGTTTCATTTCAAGTCACAACGGGACTCTCATTCATGAGTGGCCGGCACGGTCACTGCGAAAGCGGTATTATTTAGCATGTCTCACGATAGTTATAAATTACTATTGAAGTTGGTTCCATCTCAAAAGGATTTCCGAGTTACTAGATTTTAGTTTTAAGTATTTGGAAGTGCAATCAAAGTAATAATTATTTATAAAGTTTATGGACATCTCGCTAGGATTAGGAAATCATTTTTTATCTCATAAATGCAGGAGCATTTTTATATTAAAAATATTTTGAAATTCGAATTGATCTTACTATTATTAAAATATACTTAATCACATTTAACCATAAATATAGAAATATGTCTTTAAAAAATCGATGACTGCATTAATCGTGTGTTGTTTCAGTTAACTCCAAGCCAGTCGGAGATGGAGAGGCTGGATGCGAGAGAGGTGTACTACTGACCCAATGCTTTTTGGATCATAAAGGCTCGGTAAATATTATTTGTCTCACTAAAATTTTATCATGTCGTGTTCTCTCAAATATTAGATAGGGTTTTTTTTAATTTTGATGTTGACCGAAAAAAAAGGTTGTAACTTTAAAAAAAATTTGTGGTTTTAATATGATTTTTATTTTTTTCAGGTACCCATGTAAATCTCTGAAGACAGTTACCTAAAATGCTAGAATAAGTACAATAATACCCACTGATTTTATTTCTTTGCAGTACAGTACTTATTAAATATACGTTATCACTTGCAATGCCTACATATTTACTATATATGATTAAGTGTGATATATTGCACAAATGCTAAAAAATATGCGAAATAATAAACGTTTGCAATATTTTTTTGAATTTCATTAATTCCATTGACCTTCGTAATCCTTTAACTTTAATCTACTTTTGAAACAAGTACAGCAAATAAAATGTACAATACACATATCAATTGAAAAAACATATAATGTAATTTTGTAAGTAAGTACCTATATTTCATGGACTAGTAAACTACCAATGTTATCTAGTATTTTTTTTTAAATTTATAGTTACAACAGTGTACAGATATTGAATTTGAAACTTTTCCCATAAAACCCTACACTAATAAATTTTATTAAGTACTAATAACAGTATTAACTACTCAATTATTTTATAGAAATAGTATAAAAGTATTATTTTATAATTATGATATCAAGCTATTGACTGCACGGTTGGTGCGGTGGCTGGGCAACGTGTCGCGGGTTCGATTCCCGCACGGAACAACACTTTGTGTGATCCACAAATTGTTGTTTAGGGTCTGGGTGTCATGTGTATGTGAACTTGTATGTTTGTAAACGCATCCACGACACAGGAGAAAATCATAGTGTGGGGCAACGTTTTAAAAAAAAAATATATCTGGAAAAAAAATTCAGACAGTGCAGTTATTTTATTAGTATTTTTGGTGTAGCAGATGTTACTCTGCTGCACACCTTCCAAAAAATGGGTACACAAACGTGCACAAAACAGCTTATTGCTGAAATGTGTAGTACTATTTACATGTTTAACGCACCTAAGCTACTACTGAAAATTGGTCCCTTAATTATGAACACATTATGTTGAGCAAAATTTACCTCAACGTCGAATAAATCATGCCGGCCGCTATAAGTACTCCGTAGTGAACGAAACCATAGCGCGATCTATTTCGATACGAACGCCATCTAGTTGCGTTCGGGGAAATGAATTTCGGCTTGAAAGAAATAAGTGTGCTTTTATTTTATTTTCGTTTATTGTTAATGGTTTCTAGTTTAATATAATAATTGGAAATAATTATTTTGCAATAGAATACAAAAATAAAAATTTCGCAGTTTAGGATAGTTTAACTTGTACTTTGTAATACAATTTATTCGAAAAGTTCGTCCTGTTGTATTTCAGGGAAGATGATTTGTGATGCAGCAATTTAAAATGTGTCCTGTAATCACTTACATGATCCGTATTGCACTTGTTTATGCCTCTGGCGTTGAGTGTGTCCGTGACACGGCGACAGCTTACCATTAAGCGCGGCGTAAGCTTTTTTGCGTCAAATATCAAATAGAAGGTACCTAAAGAAGAAGGTAAATAAAAACATAGCATAAAAAACTACATGTACATTTTGTACACCCATGATTGGTCTATCTATTAGCCGCTTGGTTACAATTCATTTCGTTTAGCCCAATTCCGAACTTAAGCAAAAGAAATATGGAAAAACCCGATATAACTTTGAACCACAACTATTATCGTTACAAAGTCCACTCAGCTAATTATAGGATGTTCTTTTTACATTACGTTAGGGAAGTACAATGTTAAATTATATTATTTATAGTATTCTTAGAACTTAACAAATGGACTTTGTATTTATTGCTTTGAACTTTGTATCACTGTAACAGCAGATACCCAAATGAAATTTTCCCAGTTTTTTTTTTGGTGTGACGTGGGTTTTTGATTGTTATATAGGTGATGTTGCAATGCCAAACTAGCTTTTGGGTTTATATTTTTTTTAAGGAGCACAGCAACAACATAACATTACGCCTTTTATCCCCAAAGGGGTACGCAGGCGCTGAAATGCCACTGTACAATGTGACACCTACTTTTCATTATTTATGTTATGAATCCCTTGTAATAGGGTGAACCTAGTGAGCTCAATTATTTTTTTTATGTAATAGGCAGTAAACGAGTATACAGATCGCCTGGTGCTAAGCGACCAGCTCTGCCTATGAATACCCACAATACCAGATAAGTCACAAATATGACGTCGACATTTTTAAATGCGGGCGTTCTTTTCTTTTCTTGAGTTTTACAAGAACGGTTTAGAAGATAATTCGATTAGATAAAAGAGTACGAAAATACAGATGCAGGTATTTTCCGTCGCAATATTGTTTGGCGATCGCTTAGGAGAAACACGTCAAATATTTAGGTATTATTCTCGACCACAAACTGAGCTATTCTTTCAGCATATATGAAATACGTAGCTGTAATAAACGCACGATGACTCCTGGAACGACTGACTCCACGTTGCCTTTAAAATGCCTTATTGTCAGGCAGTTTATGAAACGCGTCACAAAGTATTATTTTTAATATATCAAAAATACTACTTCTTTGGCCGAGTGGTCGCAAGTGCGAGAAGGGGTCTCGGGTTCGATTCCCGGGTCGGGCAAAGTTTTACTGGGTTTTACTCAGTAGTAGCACGGCGTCTGGAATTGTGCCCGGTATATTGTGCCCGGTACGGCAATAGGCTCACCCCCTATTACCTCTACATGGGACTCATAACATAAATAGTGAAAATTGGGTGTTACATTGTATAGTGGCATAATTTGCACCTCAGCCTACTCCTTCGGGAATAAAAGGCAAGATGTTACGTTATATCAAAAAGATTCCAACTGTCTCAAAGTTCCTATTTTCCGTACAAAATTCCAAATCTTCGTTTGATTATAAAGTTACATTAGCGAAATAAATGCACAGAGGTGTTGAAAATATAACTAAAATAATAAAAAGGAAGATCAGACAGGAATTTCATCCATAGTCATACTTAGGTATACCTAAGTACAGAATTTAGGCTTAATTATAACCTATTGACCTACAGAACCTAGGCCTAAATTCTGCTTTACATTTTGTCATACAGTCAGAAAACAAACACATAAACGTTTCAAAAGAAGGTCATCCCTAATAGATTCTTGTGGACCTTAGAATAGTAGAAACAATGCACATGCTATGAAAAAGACACTGATGAAGTAAACGAACAAAGATATATTTTTTGCTGCGTTTCCTATTAACATTGATCTAAGCCGCTCTGAGATAATATAATGATAATTACTTCGCGTAAAATTACCCAACAACAGGAGTTTTATATAAAAGACGTCTGTTTACGATCCATGGCACACACAGTTGACGCTTCGAAGGATCAGGAGTCCAAAGTTGAATTGTACCTACAATATGTCCAAGTTCACTTGTTTGGTTTTGTGTGTTGTGGCTGTTAGCCTAAGTGGGGTTCATGTGAGTGTCTATTATGATTTTGAAACTTATATATTCTCCTTAAAAAGTTCATAATTGTATATCAGTTATCTTTTTAGTCAGTAAGTCAAGGTTGCCTAGAATCTTAAGTCCCAAGTTCAGTTGACATAGCCTTTACCTACAAAATAACACTGGGACATAGATATTGTGAAATTTATTTTCCTTTTATCATCAAAACATTAAAAGCTAATGACTAAAATTTTTGAAGAAGTTAATTTTGGGATATTTAGATTACGACTGACATTGGGAGGGAGTCTGACAGCAAAATGATTTGTAATGCCATTTGAAAAAAAAATATGAGCATTTTTTAAGTAGATTTCAAAATATGATGATATAAAAGCTTATATTATACTCGTAGCCTAGTAAATAGTAGATGTAGAATTGTACAATCCAAAATGTCGTGACCTGATCAGAATATTAAAAAAAAATGAAACAAATAAAATAGATGTAACAATTCGTTACAATAATTTAAATTTATTCCTTTTTAGGCAACTGCGGAAGAGAAAGCTGCTTTTATAGAAGCTGTGAAGCCCTACGTACAGGAGTGCTCAAAAGAACATGGAGTTACTCCTGAAGATATTAAGTCCGCCAAGGCGGCAGGCAACGCTGATGGCATCAACTCCTGTTTCTTAAGCTGCGTTTATAAGAAAGCTGAAGTGGTACGTATGGAATCTAAAATCACACAAAAATCATAGTAATTGCCAATAGATAATGTAGACAAAAATAGGTCATTGGTCAAGTAGTTACTAGCGCCATTATCAAGGGACAGTTATGTTCCAATCCAGGGAACGTTAATGTACTTTTGGCAGCTAAGCGTAACCCGTTACTTATCTTGCTTCAGAATCTTGAGCTCGAATCAGTATTTTTTTAGAGCGACCCCGATCGGGTATACCCTCACGTCACGTAATTTTACTGAAAAATTATTGTTAAGGTCAGTAAATTAATTAATGACTAGTAAGTCATAAGACATAAATACCGATCCAGCAGCTGTAGCCAAATGCCATTTAGCGCACACACAGCAAGTCACAGCTCCTCCAGAAAGATACTTATTCCAGTGTATATTTTTGACAAATCGTTAGAAAAGAAATCACACTGTACATTCAAACAGCTGTTTTTATTACTTGTCAATTACAGATCAACGAAAAGGGAGAATACGATGTCGATAAAGCCTTGGAGAAACTCAAGAAGTTCGTGAGCAACGAAGATGATTATGCTAAATTCGCAAACATCGGAAAGAAATGCGCTTCAGGTAGTAATATAACATCACGCCTTTTTATCCCCGAAGGGGTAGACAGAGGTGCACACCGAAGTAACACCCACTTTTCACTATTTATGTTATGAGTCCCACGTAGTAGGGGGTGAGCCTATTGCCATATACCGGTCACATATCCAGACTCCGTGCTACTTTTTTAAAACCCCTATAATACTTTGCCCGACCCGGTAATCGAACTTCAAACTTTCGAAGGCTTCAGGTAGTATTGTATTTAGTTCCTACAACCATATGAATGTATTTTTCAAAACAATTAAAGCAAATAATAGTAATTTGTGCAGTATGGTAATTAAAGATCTAAAGATGTTAAAAATCACATCTGCAAAAAGTGTAATAAAAACAGCAATTATTTCTTGTAACAAAAACGTATGCACGTTATCTACACGCATAGAAACGAATTAATTATTTACGTTCTGGAAAGGAAATGGAAGAATTAATAAAGATGGATTATATGGATGGAGATCTGATGAATGATGAACAGTATAAAAAAACAGTTAAGAGCACGATGAGATAGTGTCAGATGGTGGGGGTTAAAAAAAATACATCGACCCTGGTAAAGACAAAATTTTGGTAAGGCCACCCCAAGATGAAGTTTTGATTTGTTAACTAAATTTATTTTTCAATGATTTCAGTCAACGAAAAGTCTGTAAGCGATGGAGAAGCTGGCTGTGAGAGAGCTGCGCTGTTGACCTCATGCTTTTTGGAACACAAGAGCGAGGTAAATTCTTTCCTGGCTTAAAATACTAATTAATTTTTTTTAATAGTATTATTTAATTTACTGTCCCTGTAGTATCTGATGGCTCCTTCACAATATTATTTATAATGTGTTTTATATTGCGTAAGACATAAAGGATGGTCAAATTAGACAATAAGACTGAATTATTTCGCGTTGGACCAATGATTGTTCCCTGTGGAACTCTGATAATAATAATTATTCGTTATATAATCATTTCAAATTTATTGCAATAAGGATTTGCATTCCTCATATCGTACAATCAAACACTAAGTACTAGATATATTGTTACGGTTAGTGGCCGGCCATTGTAGGTACCACAGAACATATAAAGAAAGTTGGTACCACAGTACCATTATAGATTGTAAAAAACTAGATAATTATATTCGCCGCAAAGTTACAGACTTGCATTTAAATTAAACAATGAATAAGTGAATATCTTTTGTATAGAAATCAGGGCAGCCATCCATGAATCCGGTGGAGGAACAGAGATCAGGTCCACGAGTATTAGCGCGACTTCTAGGAGCCGCACATGGTCTAGAGCAAGCCCGAGCTTCTGTGCAAAGACTCTCGTTGCTCCGTGATCTGTCACCTTTTTCTAACCGTGATCGCCCTTAGAACAATGCAATTATTTCTGCTGTACTATATCAGGTTTGCACAAGTCCTTAAAGCATGAATACTTTTGACTAACTGCATGAATCCCTCTGATTAGGTCTGTCTCAAGTACCCAATTGATTATTTAAATTGTTTTCTGTTTCAGATCTCCGCTTAATTTACTGAAGTGGCGATTGCAGTCTGGCAAGATAAAGTCTTGTTGATTTTCTTTAATACTTGTGAATAAAGCAGTTTTATTTTATTACACTTATGTTGGTTTTTATTTAAATTTGTTTAAGAATTAACGTAGATACCTCCAGGTTAATCCTGTATAATATTGAAGAATTGATGTATAGGTTTAATGAAGTTAGTAAATAATAAAATATGATTCTCTACATCATAGTCCACAAGAGATATTTTTGGTAGCATATAAAGTTTATAAAAATGCAATTTATTTTATAAATCATAATAATTATAGTTATGTATTTAGTACTCTCTGAAAGTGAATTTACACATAAACATAACATCACGCCTTTTGTCCCCGAAGGGAAAGCAGAGGTGTACACTATACCATTGTACAATGTAACACCAACTTTTCACTGAATATGTTATGAGTCCCATCTAATAGGTGGTGAGGCTATTGCCATATACTGGGCACAATTCCAGACTCCGTGCTACTACTGAGAATTTATAAATAAAATACCCAGTAGTACCTACTTTGCCCGATTCGGGAAGAGCTCTTGCGACCACTGGGCCAACGACGCAGTCAAAAAGAATTTACAAATACGTGCATTTCCGCTTGGCATCTAAATATAAATAATGCACGATTAACAAAATCATTTTTTACTTAGTTTTTGTTGCATTGAACCGAGCTTTGCAATATTGATAAAAACTTGACATTTGAATTGACCAAGGAAATAAGTTTAATATAAATAGCTGTTAACTTTTGGATTAAGACATAAACAGTCTGAGCTTCTAGATAACAGGAGTGATTACTGAATAATAAAATGGCCAAGTTATCTTGTCTTGTTTTGTGTGTGGTGGCTGCGAGCTTGGGTAGCATTCATGTGAGTACCATCAAATTTAATTTTCTCACACCCTACTATAGAATCACCTTCTTGCGTATTAAATTGTATATCAGCAATATTACCTTCTCATAACTATTTGTATCACAATTAGTAAGGGTAGTTTTAGTGTCGCCCTGACTGCAAGCTGACCGTCGCCGCTGACAGCCGAAACTTCTGAACTGAACTGAACTTCTAGGTAGCGTTGTTGAATTACGCGTAGCTATCAGCGCGTACGGTTCCCAGAAGTTCACCTGGCTCAGTTATCAGCGCCGACGGTCAGCGTGCAGTCAGCGCTGACGCTGAAACCAGCCTAAAAAGTTACTTAGTACAACCATAACCTTCAATAGCAATAGCTTTCACAATTTTCAAACTTATATCGTGATAACTTTGAAGGTCGCTAAAGGCGAGTCTCTACGGGAGTCTCTGAGACCCGTGATAGTGGCGTGCTCCAAAGAGCATGGAGTCACTGACGCTGAGATTCAGGCTGCTAAGGAGGCGGGCAGCCCCGCCAGCATCAAACCTTGCTTCATCGCCTGTGTATTCAAGAAAGCTGGATTCGTGAGTCTTATCATTATCATCATTTGTTAAGTAAAGGTTCTATTCACGTGTGTATATAGCATCTTTCCAAAAGTAGGCCACTGAAAATGATTTCAACTTTCGGAATCTGATTTCTGTCAGTATTTTAGCGGATATTGTCAGTTTACTTAACTGGACTTTATCCTGTGCTGAGTTCGAGCAGGCGCTGTTTGCTTGTCGTCTACAATGGTCGTCAGACTCATCAGTATTCAGTATCAGCGATACTTTGATTAGCCTAGTCACTACAGTTTACTAATGCTCTGCGCTTAGTATATAACTTGATTTACTACGAATTACTTTTGAATACGTAAGTGCCTACTGCTAATATCATAGCAGTTGTACAGAGTGGTGTTCGTACTGATAATACTGATGTTTTGTACTTTTAGTAACAAAGAAGAAATAGGAGTAATACTTAATTACTAGGTTATCACTAGGTTTGAATTTGCAGATCAATGAGCAAGGCCAATTAGACCTGGAAACTGGACTGAAGAACCTCAGACAGTTTGTGAAGGATGATGAACAATACAAACAGCTGGAAGGGGTTGCGAATAAATGTTCACCAGGTAATATTTTGCTTGGACTTTTATATTACTTATTATATACATACATAACACCACGCCTTTTTTTCTTTTCCTGAAGGGGTAGGCAGAAGCACACATTACGGCACATGATGCCACATTATAATGTAACACTCACTATTCACTATTTTATGAGTCCCATGTGATAGAAGGTGACCCTATTGCCATATACCGGGCACAATTCCAGACACCGTGCTGCCACTGAGATTTTTTTCTAAAAACTTAGTAGTAGTTTGCCCGACTTGGGAATCGAACCCGAGACCCCTTGCCCGACAGTCGCACTTGCGACCACTTGGCCAACGAGGCAGTCAACTTACTTATTATTTAACTTTTTTTTATTTAATTCATTCACCATTCACTGTTAATTAATAATTTAATTTCTCACTTGAGATATCGTACCGAAAATCCTAAAAATGTATTTATACAAAAGACCGCTTGGGTCTTGACCAGTTAAAGTTCATTATGATGACATCGATGTGTAGTTTTAGTAAGCAGGAGAAAGTAGTACATAATGATCCCTTTAAAAAAGCTGTAACAGCACAAATATCACACATATCATAAAAGTCTAACATTTATTACCTAACTAGTTTAATGCCCTACATATAATTAAACATAACAGTTTTTTTTTTCGTTTTCGTAAGGGTTTTTTCGCAAAGGAACATTTTGTACACTCTAGTTCTAAATAGTTTGACAATTCTATTGATACTTCTTTGTTACTTCCAGTGAAAGATAAGGCAGTGAGTGATGGAGCAGCTGGATGCGACAGAGGTGTTCACCTGGCTGGTTGCTTCTTGGACCATAAGACTAGTGTAAGTTGTTCACTATTTCATTTATTTTATTTATTTTATTTTCAGCCATGATCGTCCCACTGCAGGGCAAAGGCCTCCCTACCCTCCTTCCACTCCTCTCTATGTAAAGCTTTTTGCGGCCAATCCTTGTCATAGTTGTTAAATTCGGCCCGCCATCTCCTTTTGGGCCTACCGCAACAACTGTTTCATTTACTACAACTTATAGTTTATTGTTAGAAACAAGTTCCTATCTATTTATTATAGCAATTTATGACGCTGCGATTACCGTAGTATGTTTTATCAATATAAGCCGATAAAAGAGCAGACAGATCACCTGATGATGAACAATCGGCGCTGCCCATGGTCACCCGAAAGACTAGTGACGTAACAAGTGCGTTATCGGCTTTTTGGGAATAGGAAGTTGAGGAATGTTGGGGATTCAGGGATTGGGGAAGGGGGGTAGGGTAGTTGGGCTTCCAGTAACCTCACTCACACGACGAACACGACGCAAGCTTTGTTTTATGTCGGTTTTCTGTGAGGCCATGGTATCACTCCGGTCGAGCCGGCCCATTCGTACCGAAGTATGGCTCTCCAACACTAAAAATTGTTAAGTTATCTAACCGAGAATATAATACATGTAGTGGCGTAAGATATGGCAAACAATATGGTATATAAAAAGAAAATAAATTTAAGACTTTAATTGCATTTTTGGTTACAGATCATCATCTAAACGGATTTCAGACCCGGACCTACTACGATTGGGGCTCGGATTATTCTGCAAAAACCTCTTCAACCATTTTGAAGCACTATATGTAACTTGTATTATAACACAGTTCTAAATATCAGATAAATAAATGCTATATAGAACGCGCTTTGACTAAGTAAAATTCTTGTCACTATCGAACTTATTAATTTCTTTATGTGCAAGACAGAGATGGAGAAATTTCTTAGTCAAAAAACGAGTTAACTTGCTTTTATTTTTCTAGAAATTATTTTATGGTTTCTGCTCCTAATCTGCAGTGAAAATCATCAGCCCCATTGCTTTGTTTAATTTCAATAAATTCAATATTTTCAACGGAAGTCTTTTATTTTTTGTGTCTATAAGGTGTGTTATTGTTAAAACTCAATTTTGGTAGAATAATTTCCTTTTCAATTTATGCGGATGTGGTTTTATTTAGATGCAATGCAAATACACCAATGACTAACAATTATGAGCAAAATGTTAGCAAATTGTAACGTAGTTTAGAGTGTTATTATGATAATGACATCATTCACTATAATTTTGTAGAATATTCATATAAACTAGTGTCAAGTTGGTTTGCAGAGTATATTCGTTTGACGAATAGACGACAGTGAAATGTTTCGGTGCAATATGGTTAAAGTTACTTACATAATCTTGTTTGTAGTAGCTGTGAGCCTTAGTAGTGTTCAAGTAAGTGTTGGTAGTAACTTATTGGTATTTCTATTGTGAAAAATTGTCTTAGTACAGAGACAGTAAGAAGCTACTGTTGTAGAAATTTGTATACTTTGTGATTGTATGCATTCCAATCAAATCTCTTGTAATTATTAGTGGTCGGTTCAACAGTAATTAAACCTCATTTTCTTACCAGTGTATCAGTAGTTTGGCTGTCTAGGCATAGTCTAGACATACTGTACGCTATTATCATAGCAAAATTCTCTATAGGTATATCTAAAGGATGTAGTTGAGTAGTCTGTTCTTTAGAATCTGCTGTAATATGTAAAGTAAAGCCGTGTGAGAAGAGGCTTTGCTCAGCAGTGGGTATTTATAGGCTGTTGATGTGAATGTATGCACTTATTGCTTTTTACATCGAGAGAAAATATCTCAAGTTACTTATGGTCGGCACAATATGTCTTTTGTCCCAGTCCTATTGTCCTCTACTTTCTCATATTGGACGTTATACTATCACCTACTCTCGACAGCAAAGTCAATTTCTTTCATTCATTTCTTTTATTTTATTTTACTGCCTCGTTGGTAGTAGTCGCAAGTGCGACTGCCGGGCATGGGGTCTCGGGTTCGATTCCCGGATAGGGCAAAGTACTACTGGGTTTTTAAAAAATTCTGAGTAGTTGCACGGAGTCTGAAATTGTGCCCGGTATATGGCAATAGGCTCACCCACTATTACATGGGACTCATAACATAAATAGTGAAAAGTGGGTGTTACATTGTACAGTGGCATAATGTGCACCTCTGTCTACCTCTTCGGGAATAAAAGGCGTGATGTCATATTATGTTGTGATGTTTAATCATTTATTGTTTTTTTTTGTATTCAAAAGGCAGATGATAAGAATTCCAAGCCTGAGTTTAACCTGGATACGATCGCATTTGAATGCGCTCAGAAGTTCGATATCTCTAAAGAACAATTTTCTAAAGCTATAATGACATTCGATGCGAGTGTACTTGCCCCATGCTTTTGGAAATGCTGCTTCATGAAAGTTAGAGTTGTAAGTGTCAATTCTTTGATATCTTTGATAATTTACTCGCTTATATATATATACTAGCGGACCCAACAGCCGTTGTCCTGCATATCCACTTGAATGTATGAACAAAAATTCATTCAAATTAGTTCAGCCGTTTAAGATAACCAACCTAGACACCAACTGCAGCGCCATCTGGCGGGCTGATTTGTGAATCTAAACCATTCTCAGATCCCCTTGAACACACACAAAAAATTCATCAAAATCGGTCCAGTCGTTTGAGAGAAGTTCAGTGACATACACACTCACAGAAGAATTATATATATAAAGATATGTATACTCGACTGCCTCATTGGCCGAGTGGTCGCAAGTGCGACTGCCAGGCAAAGGGTTTCGGGTTCGATTCCCGGGTCGGGCAAAGTATCATTGGGTTTAAAAAAAATCTCAGTAGTAGCACGGAGTTTGGAATTGTGCCCGGTATATATATAGCAATAGGCTCACCCCCTATTACATGGGACTCATAACATAAATGGTGAAAAGTGGGTGTTACATTGCACGGTGGCAATGTGCACCTCTGCCTACCCCTTGGGGGATAAAAAGGCGTGACGTTAGGTTATGTTATGTTATGTAAAAATTCTTCTGTGATTGTGTTTTCTTCTCAATTCTTACTAAGATGCATATATAAAAGTATATAAATCACTAACTCGTTTAAGGATTTTTTTTTGTAAATATTTTAGTATGCAGTACTTTTTCTTTCATTTCTTAGTCCATCGATTCTAGTTACTTATTAACTATCTTTGTTGTTTACAGCTTAATAGTGAGGGTCAATACGATTTTGATACTACACTAAATTTAGCTAAGGACATATTCAAGAATAAAGATAAACAGTACGAAATGGTTGAAGAAATTTTAAAAAAATGTGTATCAGGTAACTATGAAAGATTTGACGATGGAAACAGTTTTTTTTTAATTTTTGGAAAGGAATTGCATAGATTTTTTTTTATATTCAGATTTAGAATACTACTTTACAGTAAGTACATAAAATACACACAGTTTATTGTTGATTGTCTTGTTGGCCCAGTGTTTGTAAGTGCGACTGCCGGGCAAGGGGTCTCGGGTTCGATTCCTGGGTCGGACAAAGTATTACTGGATTAGTCGGACAAAGTAGCACGGCGTCTGGAATTGTTCCCGGTATATGGCAATAGGCTCACCCCTTATTACATGGGACTCATAACATAAATAGTGAAAAGTGGGTGTTACATTTTCATATTAAGTGCCGTAATATACACCTCTGCTTACCTCTTCGGAAATTAAAGCCGTGATGTTATGTTATGTCACAGTTTATTATCATTAAAACTTTATAATAAACAGAAAGAAAAGTCACTTTCAACCATTAGCTAATATACTTACCAATGATTAGGTATCGTTTAAAAAACTTTTTTTCTTTCAGTAAACGATGAGTCCGTTAGCGATGGAAATGCTGGATGTGAAAGAAGCTCTTTACTAGCAAGTTGCATGTTAGAAAATGCCAAGAAAACATTCACAATTCCGTCCCGACCGACCGTGATTTGAATAACACTTTTTTTAAATCCTTTCACGAAACGATAAAATACAGAGTGTCATCAGATAATAAATACCTAAATAAAATGTTTATTTCTCTTCTACAAATAATACAAACTTACCAACTATCTTATACAAGGTTACAGGGTAAGTCCACCTTAATCCTTTAAGAAAAGAGCGCACTTCTTTTTAAAAGGCCAACAATGCACCTGTGACTCATCTGGTGTTGTGGGTCTCCATGGGCGGCGCTGATCACTTACCATCAGGTTATCCGTCTGCTCGTTTGCCTCCTATACCATATAAAAAAGACGTGGAACCATTATTCCTCACCGATTTGACTAAGGAACTCTATATCCCAAACTTAACCGTTCTTAAGATATAGGCCTTTGAATGACTTTAATAAAAATTTCAGATTTTGGTCGGTTGCACCCTTTTTTGTATTTGTATCGCAATTTTGTACTGTTTTTTGATAATTTTTTTATGGCATAAAATATATCAAATATCGGGTCAGCTGATGGTAAGCAATCGGCGTCGCCCATGGACACCTGGAACACCAAAGGCGTTACAAGTGCGTTACCGGCCTTTTGGGGATTAGGAGATTGAGGATCGTTGGGGATTCAGGAATTGGGGAGATTACGGAAGGGGAGGGCAATTGGGCCTCCGGTAACCTCACTCACACGACGAAGCACAACGCAAGCGTTGCTTCACGTCGGTTTTCTGTGAGGCCGTGGTATCACTCCGGTCGAGCCGGCCCATTCGTGCGAAAGCATGGCTCTCCCACACTTAATTTTGTGTAAAAGATTAGTTGCTTTATTATTTGAAAGCATAAAACTGCAAGTAACTATACGAACAGAGGCGTAGTTGACGAAGGATTATTAAAACAGAAATAAATATGTGATATGTTTTTGTTTTCTTAAAATTGAGACACAAAACACAAATAAAGGGTACAATCGACTAAAATCTGAAATTTTTATAAAATTAATTCGTAGGCCGATATCTTGAGAACGGTTGAGTTTGGGATATGGGGTTCCTTAATCAAATCGGTCAAGAATAATGGATACTACCACATCTTAAAGGATTTATGTCGACTTAACCCACAGAAATATTAATCTATTATATCTATGACTAAGGTCCTTTTCACCAAGCTCTGTAAAAACTCAGTTACACGTAACCTAAGTTTAAAGTAACCTAAGTTCTGTGTTCTGTGTTTTCTGTACTGAGTTCCGTGTAAACTAGTTTCTGTTTGTAGCGGTGAAATGTAAAATGAAGCTGTAACTTCGTTTAAACGCTTTAAATTCGATTAGACGCTTTAAATCAGTTTTGTTAGGTGTAATCGTGATCAGTTTCGTTGGTGAAAAGGGACCTTAACCTGTAGCTAAGCTGAAGCTGAAAGCTAAAGAGTTTGTTTTTTGTATGCACAGATCTCTGTACCTACTGGTTCAATATATAAAAAAAGTTTTGTGTTGAATAGTCTGTTTATCGAGAAAGGCTAGGCTATCGAACATCATGCTACGATCAATAGCAGCCGAGCAGGACTAAGACATAATAGTCAATATAAATATATGTCGGAGAACTGTTAGAGTGACCATGCCTACGACGACTATTGCCCAGCGCCTTAATCATAAGTCATAACGACAGATTGATTTGTTTGTTTTAAGTTCTCCCTCAATTGGGATGATGACAGGGTACAAAAATTAAAAATCTAATTAGTCCGTCTGTTAGGTAATGAAAAAATATTAGACACGTATTTTTTTATTTTGTCGTATAATAAAACAATACTTAGATAAAACGAATCAAAGTTTAGGAGTGGGGGCTAAAACGTCATTTCTACGTATAGAATGTGCATAGAAGTGACGTCATGCGACATATCAAATCAATATATCGTCGAAAGTATTCGTTTCTGTAAGAAAATAAAAAATACGTGTCTAATGATTTAAAATTATCTACCAGACCCTATTGTACAGGTGACGTGATCGTCGGTATGCTTACCAAATAGTTCTTAGTTTTATTATAGAGACCGTTGTTTGTTACTTATTAGTAGACACTAGAGGTAATTGGTACGTTTGGAATGTGACACGTGTTAGCATTGGTAAGACAAAAACAGTAAGGGACGCGATGCTTGCAAAGAGAAAGCGGCTTTTTAGGGACGCTATAGGACCCCGCCTATAGATACAGAGAAGGGGTAGGCAGATATTCCTGTGTGGGACGTCGTTACGCGATCAAGCTCATCTCTTAAGATACATAATATATGTCAAAAAAGTCTAATATTACCATATTTTGTAATAAGCTTACATTACTTTGTCGCGGAGAACCTAACGGGTAACCGGGGCTCCGGCTCGAAGCGCAGGAGAAGGAACGGGGTGGTTTTTAGCCAATAAGAGTCTGACACTTCCTCCCGCCGCACCCAGGCAGGAGCAGTCATTCGACGATTACATTACATTACTAACTGTTATCCATATTATAATATTATTGTAAATTATTGTAAATATAATATTGTAATATGGATAAACTGGATAGTTCTAATTACTACCGATTCCCGCGACGTCTCCGACATATATTTTTCAAAAAGTTTTATTTCTATTAATAGTCAATTGCTGCATAATCCATGTAGGTACTTCCGTACCACCTACACAACTATCTGGTGTATTGAGTGTTACTTGTCCCTCTATTAAAGTACTGACTTGATTGAAATTTAATAAAACATACAAATAGGAAATGAAAAAGAGGACAAGTCAAATAATTTAAATTCTGTCTGATGTTATTCAGTCTGATGTTATTCTGTCTGATTTAATCCGTGGACGGAGTCGCGAGCAAAAGCTAGTTCAAAATAAAACGATTTAAATGACTTGAACCTATTTGACTGAAAGCCCCAAGAAAAGGCTTAGATAGGTTTTTTCCCACAAATCCTACATTAACGGGAATTAGGCGTTAAAATCCTGGGATACCATTTCTTCCAAACTACTGAATCTAATTGACTGGATTTAAATAAAATTTGACTGCCTCGTTGGCCGAGTGGTCGCAAGTGCGACTGCTGGGCAAGGGGTCTCGGGTTCGATTCCCGGGTCGGGCAAAGTATTACTGGGTTTTTTCAAAAATTTCAGTAGTAGCACGGAGTCTGGATTGTGCCCGGTATATGGCAATAGGCTCACCCCCTATTACATGGGACTCATAACATAAATAGTGAAAAGTGGGTGTTACATTGTACAGTGGCATTAAGTGCCGTATTGTACACCTCTGCTTACCCCTTCGGGGATAAAAAGGCGTGATGTAATGTTAAATAAAAACCATTACAAAAATGGCGTTCTGTTTTAGTCATTATATATTAATTAATATATTCAATTAATATTCTAACACTTTACATGGCGAGGAGTTTAAGAAGGGTAGGCTTTTGCCATGCAGTAGGATCATCATGAGTTAAATAAAATAAATCAAATAATACCTGTTTTAGGGTACTAAATATATATATTATATGCTTATATGTATGTATATGGCAATAGGATCACCCCCTATTACATGGGACTCATAAAATAAATAGTGATAAGTGGGTATTACATTGTACAGTGGCATAATGTACACCTCTACCTACCCCTTCGGGGATAAAAGGCGTGGTATTATATTTTGTTATTATATGATTATAACACATTTATAATAGAAGTGGAGAAATTCATGTCACTAATAGTATCATTTTCCTGTGCCTATTTTCCCGGAGAAAACATATGGAAGATAATGTATAATTTGCCTTTTTGTTTGCAAAGAACAATGCATCAGTATATAACCGATGGAAATGCTGGATATGAAAGGAGCCTTTTAAGTAGCAGCTTGCTTATTCGATATTTGCAGAAACACTTTCATAAATATTTTTTACGATGCTTAATATTTGAATAATGCTTTTACTGAAATACCTCCTTACATCGAATGCTATATCTGTAACATTAACAAGTCTATTTAAATATATTTGATTGTATTTTTTAACAGTTGATCTCAAATACTTCTTCTAAGTTTCCATAAGTCTATACTATGGGAAGGGGTAGGCAGAGGTGCACATTATGCCACTGTACAATGTAACACTCACTTTTCACTATTTATGTTATGAGTCCCATGTAATAGGGGGTGAGCGTATTGCCATATACCGGGCACAATTCCAGACTCCGTGCTACTACTTAGAATTTTTTTAAAAACCCATTGATACTTTGTCTAACCCGGGAATCGAACCCGAGATACCTTGCCCGGCAGTCCCAGTTACGACCACTCGGCCAACTAGGCAGTACTGTGTGTGAAGTATTGTCTAAATGCAATTTTAGTAAAATAACAAACCCTGCTATAATCATGCGGATGTTGTTTTATTTACATTCAATACAAATCGTCAAATAGTGTTGATTTGTGCAATTATTAGCAAATTACTTGCAAATTGTATCGTCGTTTGAAGCATAATTATAATAATTCCATCATAATATTATTGTCCCATAGTTTTGTACAATATTTATTTAAACTAGTGCTGAAGTTGGTATATAGTCTGTAAAGCATTGACGTTTGACGGCCTGAAGTCTCAAGAGTAGAATTTGTTGGTGCAAAATGGCTAAAGTTACGTGCATAGTCCTCTTTCTAGTAGGCGTGGGTCTGAGTAGTATTCAAGTAAGTTATAAGTTATTTAACTTATATTTAATGTATATAAATGACACGCCAGCATTAACGACATTATCCGTCGAGCTCTTGTTATCGCCGGTGTGCCAGCTGTTTTGGAACCAAAGGGCTTGGCGTGCGACGATGGTAAGAGACCTGATGGTATGTCCATTATGCCCTGGAAGTCTTTGATGTGGAACGCAACCTGCGTCGACACCCTTGCACCTTCTCATCTTCCAGTAACATCGGGTTGTGCTAGTTCGGCTGCTGCCTCTGCAGAAAACCTCAAGCGGCGCCTTGCTGGTAGTTATATCTTTGAGCCGTTTGGGGTTGAGATATTAGGTGCGTGGGGTCCGAGTGCCAATAAATTGTTCAAAAATATTTGTAAACGCCTGGTCGACGCATCCCATGACCAGAGGGCTAGTCTTTTCTCAGCCAGAGGTTAAGCATTGCCGTACAACGTGCTGCCAGCCTTCAGGGTACTTTCCCTACTGACTTCAATGCGGACGAATCTTTCGATGTTTTGTGTAAATAGTTATTTTTAGTTTTCTTTTATTTAATTTTTATCTTTTTGTATCTTAAGTTGTATGTATTTAGTAATAGTTAGTATTTATTTTAGTTAAATTTATATTATATAAAGTATACAGCTAACCATGTTATTCAGTACACAGATAAGAAAATAAGGATTAAGTCAGTACAGAGTCAGTTTGACAGTGGTTTTTATAACAAAATTTATGTTCTCTATGGCAGAAGTAAACCGGTCTGCATTTTAGAATCTCCTAACGCTAAACACATGCTCTCAGCTCTGGAGTGCCACATTAGAAGCTGATTACAGGTAGTGGATTATCTTCTTAAATCTTCGCCTTAAATCCGCCCTTATCCTACATGTGGTCATCAAATGGGTTCTTTTTCCATTGTCTTCTTTGGATTTGGTTGGAATTCATCCTATCACATTTTAATTTCTACATCATTATAAAATACAACAATAATTTAACTTATCTTTGGAAATTCTTTACCTTTCCATCTTGTGTTTGATTTCTGTTAATTGTCACTTTTCTGTTTTCAATTAGACAAAGATAATTTATCGGTGCTGATTTAAATGAAAATGTCCGATTTAAATATCCTCTTAATTAACTTAAATAAAAGCAAACTAATAATCTAATTGTTTGTGTTCTTTTAAAGGCAGATGATGGCAAAAATAGATCTGAGGTTGAGAATGACCTGAATCATATCATAGAAGACTGCATCAAGGAGCATCATATACCACGTATACTATTTTCTGCAGCTGCGGGGACAGGCAGCACTCATGCACTTCCCCCATGTTTTTGGAGTTGCTGCTTCAAGGGAGTTGGTGTTGTAAGGTTTTAACCACTTCTTTAATAGGCGAAACATGAAATATATATTCCATGTTTTGATAAATATTATAAAAAATACTCCACTTGGCTGGGGGCAATACCGTGCCCATTAATATTGTCTCGTCAAATATTTTCTCACAAATTGCCAAAAAATTGAGAGAATAGAAATATTTTTTTCTTTTCTTACGAATTTTATCCATTACACTTATTACCCATCTTGTTATTTGCAGCTGAATAGTGATGATCAATACGACATTGATACTACATTGGACTTTTCCAAGAAACTTTTTGGAGATGAGGACTACGAAAAAGTTGAAGAAATCGTAAAAAAATGTGAATCAGGTAAAACAATAATATCTTTACTTATAATAAATCTGTAGAGAGGTCGGACATGTATAGCATGAAATATATTTCCAAAATAACTATCAGGGGGTGATTAGTGATACTATTGCCAAAAATGTAAACAGTATATTGTCTATTTGTCTGTCTGTATGTTCCTTATAGAAACAAAAACCACTTGACGGATTTTAACGAAACTTAGTAAAATTATTCTTCATACTCCTGGAAAGATTATACTAAACTTTCCATCACGCTAGAATCAATAGGAGGAGATCAGTGAAAGGAAATGTCGGGAAAACGGGAGAAATTACTCCATTATTTAAGCTTCCGACGCGTGTGCAGCCTTAAAGGTTAAACCTATATAAAATTATCTAAAATACATCCCACAGCAGCATATGTCTATCTTTTATGGTTGACTCACAATAACACGTGTAACTCCCGATAGCTTAGCAGTTCGGAGCTTTCTGCTTATATGTCTTTACTCTTGCGTTTATAAAACTGTCACTCATCCTTATTTAACACTTACCTAAACATGGAACAAGCTAACAAACTTAATTGTGTGGCTCAATCCCTAGGCATAATTACTGTACCAAACGCAATTAGATTCCTCCAGGTACTTTACGCTGTAACTGTAGGGCCGATGGTTGAAATTAGCTTGAACCGATATTATAAATGTGAAAATATGTGAGTTTATGTGTTTGTGTGTATGTTTGTTACTTAGTCATATTAAAATGACTGAAGGGACCGAAATAAAATTCGGAACAAAGGTAGATGTGGTCTGAAGTAATACATAGGCATTTTACCCCTGGATTCGCGGGCGAAACCGCTGGCAGAAGCTGGTCTATAATACGAAAGAAGTAATAATGAAATCGTAAATAGAAGCATCTTTGTACTGGGTTAATTCCCCGGTAAAACGTGTTGGCTGTATGTATAAAATATATGGAAAATAATATTTACTTTTTCTTTATAATGTTTATTTTTAAAGGATTACCTCGTAGGCCGAGTGGTTGCAAATTGTACTGCCGGAATAGGAGTCTCGGGTTCGATTCCCGGGTCGGGCAAAGTATTACTGGGTTCTTAAAAAAATCTCAATGGTAGCACGGAGTCTGGAATTGTGGACAAGGGGTCTCGGGTTCGATTCCCGGGTCGGGCAAAGTATTACTGGGTTCTTAAAAAAATCTCAGTGGTAGCACGGAGTCTGGAATTGTGCTAGGTATATGGCAATAGGCTCACCCTCTATTACAAGGGACTCATAACATAAATAGTGAAAAGTGGGTGTTACATTGTACAGTGACATTAAGTGCCGCAATGTGCACGTATTTGCCTACTCCTTTAGGGATAAAAGGCGTGATGTTATGTTATGTTTATTTTTTGCTTACAGTGAACGGTGCATCAGTAAGCAATGGAAATATTGAATGTGAAAAGAGTGTTTTACTAGCAGATTGCTTATTCGATAATGCAAAGAAACATTTCCCAAATACATTTAGTGATATTTAATATTTTAATAACGCTTTTTCCGAAATACACCAATGATAATATATGAATAAACGTTAAAATATACTGAATGTTGTGTTATTAATTTTTATGTACTTATCCTATCCTATGTTTTATTGTAATTCACATATCAACATATTTTTTCTACAGTTTTGTCTGTCTGTCTGTTTGTACTGGCTAATCTCTGGAATGGTTGGATCGATTTTGCAAGAATTTCCAGCAAGCTGATGTATGTACTTAGGAGTGATATAGGATATCAACCTACTTCATTTTCAATAATTGAAACAAAAAAAATATGTTCTAATATTCATTTTCTACGCAGACGAAGTCTTACAGCTAGAATTGACAATTATATATATAAAAATGTTTAAAGTAAAGCCAAATACAAGATTTCGCATATATTTACTAGGTAGTTAAATATTGTGATTTGCCGACAGTGGTTAGCAAATCAGAACTTTTAACCACTCACATACTTATCCTCTGTTCAATGTATCAAATATGTAAGCAATACGAAAAAAAAGCAGTAACAATTACATCCATAATAAAATGAAAAAAAAAACAAACGACAGAAGCATACACAAAGATTTTTTTATTAACTAAAGAAGCACAGGCGACTCAGAACCGATCCAACTGACTAGTTACGATGTGTGTAAAAGTGGTTACACTTCATTCTCTTTAATTTCGTCACACTGATGTTAAAGAGATCAATATACACCTCCCTACAAACTGCATTAAACGTGTGACAAGCCCTGACCAAGAATGAATTCTGCTTAAAGTGGCAAGATTATGGAGAAGGTTATGCCCTCTCAACAATGCAGAAGGTACGCGCAAGCAAGCCAACTTTGCTCACCAGCTCGGATACATCCGCCAATCCACTCAACACTTTACGTAGAAAGGAAATGTTCGCTATTTTCCTTCGCTCCTGCAGTGGAAGCAAATGAAACCTTCCTATACCAGTGTGATGTTGAATATACCTCAGGAACTTCTTCTGTACGTTTTGTATACGATTTATGTAGGTATCGTAGTTGGGGTTCCATACTTGTGAAGCGTATTCAAGGAGACTGCGAACGTAAGAACAATATAATATTTTTATTGTTTTGATGTTTTAATAAAATCTTTAGACACCCTTAAAACAAAACCTAATGCTTTATTTGCCATATCAATTGCGTTAAAAATGTGTACATCGAATAACAGAACAGACGTAGCATTTGGATACGTTCAGATCCTTGTTTCTAGTGCAGTACGCCTAAAGTAGTAGATGCCAGAGCCCAGATGTTTAAGACGCCCAGCTCTCATGAATGAGGGTGCGGGTCCGAAACTTACCAACGGCAAGTACCAATGTGACTTTTTCCGAGTTATATGTACTTTCTAAGATTATCTAGAGACGTCTGACAAACGATGAAGGAAAACATCGTAAATATATTGAACAGTAATGGCCCTAACAAGGATCCTTGTGGGACCCCGAAGGAATATCTGTCGCCTTCGTTGACGAGTAACCATTGAAAACAACAATCTGACTCCTATTTTCAATGTATAATGAGAACCATCTAAACAGGTCACAACGTATACCCTTGCCTATGCCTATATGGCACGAATAATCTTAAAATGCATATAAAGTTGTTGGTTCTGCGCCTAAATTATGTTTGGTCGTGTAATGACTTTATCGGAATGCCATCCTATGATGGTAATAAATGATGAACATGTCGAATTGTCATCATAGGATTGCTCGATATTAGTATCTAGCCATGAGTAGAGTAGTCTCCGTAGGCGCACAAATGAAATCCAAATTATATCAGATGTTCCTCGTTTGTCTACCTTAAATAAACCTAGTTGGAACTACCAACTAGATCAACTAATGTGTACATACAAAATAAACATTATTTAGCACCTGAGTCACTTGATGATCACATCACAAATGGCCTACAGTTTACGTACTAATTGCATATTTTCGGAAACTTTTGACGAATTCACAATGAAGATAATGGATTGTCAGAATACCGGCAGATTTTGAACTCATTTAGTTGAAAATTATCATAATCACTTCCATGAGTTTAAATGTAGTTGTTATATAAAAAGGCCTATGCGTTACTATTTAGCTAACACATGAATTTTGAAGGTTTAAGAAGGTCAACTGTAGAAATAACACATGTCTAAGTTTATTTATTTAGTACTTTCTTTAGTGGTAGTAAGCATAAGTTGTTATAAGTATGTTTATGTAAGTAAATATTTGAATATTACGAATTATTTCAAGTAGTACGTTTTAAATCACACTATGATAAGAATGAACGGTTTGTAGATTTATCCATTTTTGTTCAAAGGCATACCAAGATGTGGAATCGACCAACAGTAGACGTCATTCGATTATGGCGAAATGCGCTCATAAGTTTGGAGTCACAGATAATGACCTTAGAACAGCTTTGAGATCAGGTGATGTGGATGTCATCGATCCATGTTTCTGGAGCTGCTGCTTCAAGGGTACTGGAGTTGTGAGTATTGTTGTAAACTCTTTTAAAAGGATAGGGAAAAAAACGAGCAGACGGATCACCTGATGGTAAGCAATCGGTGCCGCCCATGAACACCTGCCATACCACAGGAGTTCCAAGTGTGTTGATGGTCTTTTGCAGAGGTGAGGATTAACGCTTGTCAGTTTTAGAATTTGTAGTAGTTTAATTTACACATACTTGAAACAATACAAGCCATAAGGTCAGTATGAAATAATTTTGTAGTGATTAAAGTTAGTACTATATCTATACCCACTCAATTCAGGGTAAAATTGTGTGTCCATAAAAAAATTAATATAATCGTCTGTTGTTGTAGTTGAACAAAGAAGGCCTTTATGATTTAGAGGCTACTCTACCTTTGATCAAACTTACATTCCGTGATGATGACTATAAGGAAGTGCAAGAAATAGCGAAATTGTGCGAAACAGGTAAAGGAAACGAAATAGTTCATAAGAATTTTTTTATTAGGTGAAATATTGGTTGATTTCAGAGGATGCTTAAGTACTGATATGTTTTTGAGAATCTTTAGAAATTGGTAAAATATTACAATGAGCAGAGGATTATACCTAATTTATTTTCTTACACATTTCAGTAAACAATGAAATCGTAAATAACGGCGATGCTGGATGTGAAAGAGCAGCCATGCTGGTGTCCTGCTTCTTAGACGGTGGTAGTAATCGACACTTTTACTGAATGTTGGAGCTAAATTAAACATAATAAGGCCGGCAACGCACCTGTGACTCCTCTGGTGCGGTGCTGATAGCTTACCATCAGCTGATCAGTCTGCTCGTTTGCCTACTTTTCCACGAAACTAATGTAATGTTGTTATTGAACAAAAACCTCCTTAAATAAATAAAATTAGCAAACAAAAGTTACAATAAAGCTGTGGTGGTACGGTGTGACGTTTCTTTTTTTAATTATTTTACACATTGACATGATGAATAAAAACAAAAGTGCTACTGTGTGTTTTCATTTGTTTCCTTTAAATTATGTTTCTCATTGACGTAATCACAATACAGGTGAAACTGCTAGTGATTTGTAATGTACCCTGTGTTACATAAAAAAACATTATTGAAAGAAAGTAATTTGAAAAAACTGGAGAAACTTTTGTATTATAATTCTTTTCGAAATCTTTTTAATCAATTGTTTTATATGACTTACACACGAATCACGTAACTCTTTGACGAGGTAACTAAACTTGTTTCAAGTCGTGCTAGGGGCTCATAGTAAATAATTAATCATTATTGAATAGAAGAATCTGGTACAAATTGAATGAAATAAAACTTACAATTTCTATTTCAACAGCTACCTATTCATTTCAAGTTATCCGCAAAATAGCGACTGAGTAAATGTTTTTAAAGAGCTGGTCTACAGAACGTCAGCGCGTGTGTCACAGTCACTCTATAGATGGTACTCATGTTGCTAGAATAGTAATTCTGATTTAAATGATACTATTTTGCGCTTAAACTCTAACCTACCATTAACTAAAATAAGCCTAAATATGTGTAATAAAATGTTCAAATAGGTATGATTGGTATACAAAATTACAATATTTAAATAAATAAATTGTCACTATGAGTAGGTATATTAGATGCTTCAAAGTCAATGTTTACGACAAAAACAGTCGACGATTTGTAGGAAAAGGAAAATAATCTGCCAGCGACATGTCGTTCTCAAGTCCATTTATGTTTGCAGTGATTTGCATTAGCGCTGTGTGTGTAAGTATGAAACAATTGAATATTTTTAACCTTCATAATTTCCCTAAACGAGCTATTTTGTGTGTATATAACTCGGATTTGAATGATTCTTTTTTGTTGGAAATACTCTCGAGGTGTTTCCATTTCCACCAGGTCAGAATTTGATATTCCCAGGAAAATCGTGGGAATATTTTAAAATCTGTAGGGAGAGTAGTGCGTTTCTTAATTTTTTAAAGTACCTCTGATATACAAATATTAGCTAACTTTAAATCAAAATTCAATATAATTATAAATTCCTCTCTGTATACTTCTCTTGTACCTTTCGAAAGAAATTTGAATTGTGTTACTCAATAATCGGGGTGACGTTTTCTATTAAGAAAACACCCTGTAAATAAATAAAGATAAAAACAAAACTGAAAATTGGCAAACGAATTTTCCCGTTCGGCTTTTACAATGGATTTCTTTTACACACACATGTTTATCTTTATACAAAGATAGAAATACCTAATATTTGCATTTTTTTTAATACAGGCAGATAAGCTTTACGATAAAGAAGCCGTCTTTGAATGTATTGAAAAGTTTGACATTCCAATAAAAGAAAAAGGTTCGTTTGAAAATAACGACGTGTCTTCAGTTGATCCCTGTTTCTGGGCTTGCAGTTTCAAGACAATAGGTTTTGTAAGTATATTGATTTTTTGACACCGACCTTCTTGATGAAATTTTTGGTCTAAATATAAAAATAATGATCCACAAAAAGAACTTCGCTGTGTTCTTTGTCAAGTTATATGCTTTACACGTTTAGGTTCGACTTAGGAGGCTGTTTAATATACATGTTTATACGTAGCTAATATATAATTATTTTATTTCAGCTCAATAGCGAAGGTCAATATGATAAGGAGGTAACACATACTCGTTATAAAAAGGAAGATTTAGCTTTTCTGGGTGAAGCAAAATTTAACAAATTTGAAGAAATCGTAGTAAAGTGTGATGCAGGTATAAATTTTCGCATGAAAGAAATTACATCGAGCAAAATACTTTAAAAATCAAAAAACCCAAATTTTTTTCAATTCCGTAACTGAAAGTGACATCTCATCCTTCGAGTCTCAAAAATATGAAGAACTGTATTCTCAAATATATTATTTGTTTTCATAATTTTTAAACTGGCTTAATAACTTTATTTCAGCTTTGGAGAAAATAACAGGGACCGACCCGAAAGCAGAATGCGACAGAGGGCTCCAGCTTGCAAAATGCTATATAGAAGATATGAGAAAGTTAATTCTAGATGATTCTAGAAAATAAATTCAATTCTCTGACTTTAGAAAATGATCGTCAATATTGAAATATTACAAAACACCCGTACCGAATTGTTAATTATTATTAAAGTGTTATATGCATACAGTTGTATATTTTATCTTATTATTAGTTTAGACTACGGTTTACGCTTTTAGGAGCGTGGCCATGTTTCAGCTAAGATGTATTGGTCTGCCTTTGTAGTCAGATCGTGACATTTTGTTATCAAACTTCCACAACTTTATAAATTCAACAATGCCGTTGCAGTGCATTGATAGTTTTGAGCTTGTGTGTCAAACACCTTCAAATATCGTGCTATCTATAATTTTACAAAGAATTTGTAATGACAGATCTATACTTAAGTGCGACTTAAAATTGAGTAGCCTTTAAGTATTTGGGCATATGTCTTGCCTATACCATCAAACAGTTTGGCTAGGCATTAGTCTAGCAGTAACTAGCTTATAATATACCAGATGTTAACTAACTTTTCTTAAATAAGATCGAGTAAAACCATGCAACTTCACTAAAATGACTGCTGACAAGAGATCAGTGGAGAGAAAAGCCGGTTAGCAGATTTTTGAGACTTAAGCTTTTAGGTGCTTTTTAGTGTGCCATTCAGGCCATTTATTTATACTTCATAGGTTGATGTTTGACCTCCATCTCACCTGGTGGTAAGCGATGATGTAGCTGACCATAGATCACGCTTGCATAGATGGGCAACCTGTTTACCCGGGACTTGAAGCCACCCAATTTATATCAGTTTACCTATAGTTGAAGGGAGAAGGAATTTACAAATTTTTATTACAATTGAGTTACTATTAGAATGGTTGGTTAGTTTTGGTGAGAACTCAATCCCTAAAGAAATCCAATTATCCTACTAATGTTTTAAATGCGAAAGTTTGTGAGGATGTACATATGTTTGTGTGTGTTTGTTACTCTTTCATGTCAGAACGACTGAAGGGATAGGCATGAAATTTGGAACAGGGGTAGAGGACACATTATGCTACTTTTATCCCACGGTAACGCAGATGAACCCGTTGGCAGAAGTTAGTTAGAAATAAATAAACCGGGATTGATAAACGATGCCATATATTAAACTGGCTAGGCTAATTGAACAGCCACATAAGCAAGACTAAATGAAGGGCTTACACTCAACAGATCCTTTCATAAGGACATAGGTAGAAGATTATATGAGAGTTATGGCACAACATTGGAACTCTAACTTATATATGCAGTACTGATTTTAGCACTAGCAGCCCCATGGGCGAGATTCTTCAGTTTTCCAGCCTTTCTTTTGGTGTACTCTTTTATTACATATTCAAAGTGCAGGAGTAGGAACGGGGTGGTTTTTACTCAGTAAGAGTCTGACACTCCTCCCGCCTCACTCAGACGGGAGAATTTCCACCCTTAAAAAAAGTCCATGTTTCCTGCTTTTTCATTTTTGATTGACTAAGTTACTAGGTTTGAATCTAGATTACAGGTTGGAGATGCGTTTTAGCTTAATAGTTAGCGTTTATTTGAAAATCACTGATTGAAAATTAATTGCGTCATAAATTGAAAATTTTAATTGACTTGATTAAATTAGACTTTATCTTTTAATCATTATTCTAGTGCCATGTTGACTTGATCATGCCACCAGTAGATGGATCATCTGATGATAAACCAAAGGATACCGTTCATGGATACCCGTAACACTAGAGGAGCTACTACGCTTCGAGAATTGCCTTCCTATTGGGGGGTTGGGGATGAGAGAGGAGATTGGGACATTAGTAGTCTTATACATATTATGAAATACAACGCATACATTGTTTCCTGCCGAATTTCTGTGAGGTTGTGATATCACTCTGATCAAGCCAAGCCAAGCCCAACATGGCTCTTGCACGTGTTAAAATATAGAATTTCAATTATACTATACCTACAATCAGTGATTTTCTAATTAAATGCCTAAATAAGTCAGTAGCAATTTATACGTACGTAGGTACGTAAGTACCTAGTTACTTATATGTAACCTAGTTACTTATATGTAACTAGGTAGATGATAAATTGGTAAATATAGATAAAATAAATTGCCTCTATAAAATTATTTGTTTGCGAACACATGAATTTAGGGGGATTCCCATATATGAAAGGAAATAGAACATTTATAGATAATTGACAATCGCTGGTGGAAATATTTGACTCATCGGTCTATTAGTAGGCACTAGTCTGTAAATCTAATATTCCCAACCTAAAATGGCAGATAGAGGTTAATAGAACTTAACTCAACCCTTTACCTCATTTGAAAGCCAAGGATAGAATAGAGAACAAATGTCCCAATACATGTATCGGTGACATATCGAGCGAAGCCGGCCGATGACGTCTGACATATACTGTAACAACACGTGTCTTATGTCCACAGCGATGTTGATGTTGCCAGACATGTCGACCAAAGTCCGGCACGCACTACGCACTACGCACCTCACCCAACGTCCCTGACGACACCTGTCGCAGGACATTTATTTGTCCCCTGGTGTATCTTTGGCTAAAATGTCGTGTAATTTTTATTTATTTACTAGCTACTTCCGCACGGTTTCATACGCTCTCTGCTCACCTCCTATTCATCGTAGCGTGATGTTTTAGCCTATAGCCATCCTCGATAAATGCGCTATCCAACACAAAAAGAATTATTCAAATCAGACTTGTAGTTACGGAGATTAGCGCGTTCAAACAAACAAACAAAAAAACAAACTCTTCCGCTTTATATTATAGTATAAGAGTGTAAGATTTAAGTTTCATACAATTGCACCAGGGAGACTTAATGCTAACAATATTCTCTGCCAGTCATCATTTGGGTAGTGAAGAAATTAAATGTAATGTGACCAAGATTTAAAAAAATCAACAGAATTAACAGAGACTCAGTTTGAAGCTGGACGACGGAGTTCTCAAATTGAACGCGAATTCAGTGCAAAATAAACATTAAAATTTGAAGGCTAAAATGTAACTTAAAGCAAATTGCAAATAATGTTTACATTGTCATGTGCAAATGCATTAAATCGTTAACCAAATTATTCTAAAATTTGACATAACATGAAAATAAGCCAATTTCAAAAATGAGGCGTAACAAGAAGATAAAAGAGATAAGGTGTTTTTGTTACGTTTTAAATAAATATGACATTGTGACAACTATTATGAACAATTACTTTAAAATTTCATATAAATAAGCGTAAAGCAGATGTTCAGGGCATAACATATTTGATAATTCAAAGGAGAGTTTGAGAGCACAGAGTAAAAATATATCAATATGTCTAAACTTTCTTGTATTGTCTTTTGTGCGGTAGCAATGAGGTTATGTGTTTTCGTTGTAAGTATTTTGAGCTTTTTTATCACCATATTTGTGATTTCAAAATCTTAAACATTGAATAATATGTTATTGTCAATAAAACGAACATTTTTTTGTTAATTTTAAGTTCAAAATTCATGTTTTTTTTTATTTAATAGGCGAGCGAGGACGCTAATTCTATTTTCCATGCACCTATTAAACCCATAGTAATAGATTGTGCAAAAGAATATGGACTTAGCGAAGACGATATTAAGAAAAACAGGGGTCTGGATGGATTGAAAAATTTACCTCCATGCTTTATACGCTGTGTTCTCAACAAACTGGATATTGTGAGTTAATATAATATGTGTAGGTAACAACGCCTCTTTTATGTCCCGTCCACACACTTGATGCTAGTCGCGGAGAAACTAACAGGTTACCGGGGTTCCGGCTCGATGTGTAGGAGAAGGAACGGGGTGGTTTTTAGTCCGTAAGAGTCTGACACTCCCTTCCGCCTCACCCAGGCGGGAGCAGACATTCGATGATTTTACTCCTTAAAAAAATCATAATTCTGGTGTCATGTCATGACTTGATCATGCCACCAGTAGATGGGTCATATAACACGAAGGGGGGACTCTTAAAAATCCACACACTTGATGCTTGTCACAAATACCAAACACAACAAATAAAGTCCTAAACATCGATGTGTAGTAAGCGTGTGGATACATCGAAAACTATTTGTTAAACAGCCTTTGATTTGAACAAGAAACCGGGACAGACACACATACAAACTCTCATCCACATGTTCGTGTTTGCTGTTTGCTATTGTTTGCCAAGCGCGTGGACTCGACATTCAACTTTTTTAGGTACAACCGATACAGAACTGAAAATAGAATACAATTTAGACAGGTAGAATTGCAGTCAGTTTGTTTGAATAAATTTTTACTAATGTCATGTTCCAGATAAACGACAAAGGTCAATATGACGCAGATTCTGGTATAGCCACAATCAAAGGATTAATGTCAAATAATGAATACTTGGAAAAAATATCAGGAGTTTTGAAAGAATGCGAGTCAGGTAAGAAGATTTCTTATATTTTAAATCATTACTTGACTGCCTGTAAACGCGATATTAAAATACGAAAAAATATAATATCAAAGCAAAATTCACAATTAAATTTATTATAATTCGTATTTCAGTAAACGAAAAATCTGTCAGTGACGGAGATGCTGGGTGCGAAAGGGCTTTACTGGGAGCCATGTGCTATTTGGACCATAAAACTATTGTAAGTAAAATTTTGTTTCTAAAATGTTGAGAAAGTGATTTACAACTACCAAAGACAACGTCTGATTGCTTAACATCAGATGACTCTTCTGTTTGTTCGGTGAGCCATAAAAAACAGTCATTTATTTTTCTACTTGAATTATTGTCTCCTCCATAGATTTCACGTTATAAAACGAAACTAAATTTGTCACGTCAACAAATCATGTCTTTGGTTGTTTTTACCATTTTTCTGGATCAAATGCATCTTCCTAACAATTTACATTTATTATTTAGTATCCATTAAAGTTTTTGTGTCATTGCATGATTCAAGTTCATGGTTCTGGGTTGCACCAGGACTTCATTATCTCGGTATTTTTGTGGTTAGCCTCCACTGTAGATCCTTTAATATGGTACACAAAGGTAACTGTTGAAATACACACATACCTACAATCATCATCATCAACAGCTTATAAATGCCCACTGCTGAGCAAAGCCTCTTCTCACATGGAGAAGGTTAGAGCAATAATCACCACGCTTGCTCAATGCGGGTTGGCGATTTCAAACTTATAATTAGAAATTATAAGCCCAGGTTTCCTCACGATGTTTTCCTTCACCGTTGGTCAGTGGTGTCTAAATAATCTTAGAAAGTACATTTAACTCGGAAAAAGTCACATTGATACTTGCCGTTGGTAAGTTTCGAACCTGCACCCTCGTGCATGAGAAGCAGGTGTCTTCAACCTCCGGGCCACCACGACACTAATACAATAATGTTTTTTAATTTTCAGGTCCTAGCTTAACTAGCTGCTAGAGAGACTCATCAACACCATGATACAGATAGATAAATCAAAACGAAAATGTATTTTGTGATTGAAATAAAATATTTTTTTTAATTAGCTGTGTGTTGTTTTAATTTTCAACAACGTTCTTAAAAACTATATAATTAATTAGTAAGTAATTAAATCTAGGTATGAGTGGAATTAGTGCTACATGCGTCATACACTGAGAAGTCCTTGAGCTTCGAGTTTGAATTAAAGTTAATGTTCTTGATATCTAGGTACATCTTAATATCAATTAAAATGTCAACTTTTTTCTGCCTAAGTTATTTACGAAAAAATCCTAATTTTTATAAACTTACCTTTGATAAGTATCACACCTATAGTTTGCCAATAAAGGAAAAAGTGTGAAAAAATGTCACAGAGTGTCGGTACGGCTTTGGCACGAATGGTCAGGCTCAACTGTAGTGATACCACGGCCTCACTGAAAACCGGCGTGAAACAGTGCTTGCGTTATATTTCACTGCTTAAGTGACGTTAAAACCCAATTCCTCCCCTCCGCAATATCTCGAATACACGAATCCCCAAAAGGCCTATCCAAAAAAAAATAAGATACATTTTCCTGAAATAAATAAACATAATTCGGTGTAACATTAAAAAGTATACTAGGACTCGTATCTCCTATCGTCCTCTGATAACTGTATCAGAACCATATATTATATTATATATTATTAGAGCCGTAATAGATACCACTGTATAACTTTGTAAATACACTGCACATGGTGGCATTCTTCTTCTGCCTGAGACCTACAAATAATAACTACTTCTGGCTTTATTAGTACAAGCCTGAAATAGAGAAAAAAAATTATAATTTCAATTAGGAATTCGAAGTATTGCCACGCAGCGGCAGCTGAGTAAAATACATAGTTAGCACCCTTATTTTTCCCGTGGGTTTCGTAAAAGTTTAATATAAGACAAAACATTTAACAAATACCCAGTTGTACCTACACGTCTTTTTTATTGGATAAGCTGGTAAATGAGTAGACGGATCATTTGATGGTAAGCAATCGGCGTCGCCCATGAATACCTGGAACACAAGAGGCGTTACAAGTGCATTACCGGCCTGTTGGGGATTAGGAATATGAGGAATGTTGGGAATTTATTTATTTTTTATTTAACACTTTATGTACTACTGTATACAATGGCGGACTTAATGCCGAATGGAATTCTCTACCAGCCAACCATAATATTTAGAGATTGGAGAAAAGGGAGGGGTGGTAGTTGGGCCTCCAGTAACCTTACTCACACGAAATACAAAGCAAGCGTTGTTTCACGTCGGTTTTCTGTGAGGCTGTGGTACCACTCCGGTCGAACCAGCCCATTTGTGTCGAACTCCCACACTTAAAACTGATCTTCTAATAAACCTGAACTTTCTAACGATTTTAATCCCAGCTGTTAAGCGCGAAGATTATGAAACATCTCTCTTATGTATAGGAGGTCCATAGTCCAACAGCACATGGACTGTTACGAGTTCTTGAAGATGAATTTGATTACCTGACACAAAACTACAGAAATATTCACATTTACTGAATTTCAATATTGTGTTTTCCTAACCACAAATGCTATGCACTTACTTATAAAAAACTAGCTACGTTTCTTCAGACGTCTACTTAGCTCGACACCCATGTCTTGACTGTCAGCTATTTGATCTAACAACAATGCTCAAGATTTATCCACGAAACCATTAGCAATTTTCGACGATTTTCGAGGACAAAATGACACTAATTTGATGTAAAGTGACAAGTGCAATTTAGGAGACTGAAATGTTGAGTAGTCAGTTTGTGATGTTGCAATAGATATTAGGGAGTAGCTATGATATTATTATTGCAATTTGCAAATTGGTGGACCTTTTAGATGCATGGAGGAGTTTGATCCAGTTTTGAATGAAAGGATTATGATAGCAATTATATATAATGACTCTTCCCATAGATCCCCAAGCGGTCACCGGTGACCGCTGTCCACTCCCTATATTATAGACCTTATTTCCAATGCTTAGAGACTACTTTTGTATGGACAAATTTAGGGGATGAATTTCAACGGGTTAAGATATAGACGATCCAGAACTCCAATAAATTTCTATTTGTTCTTGACTTAAGATTCTAAATTCTTTGATACCTGATATTTCTTTTAGTATTTTTTTTCTCTTCTATTACACACTGTGTCTTACTATATGTTTTAATTACATTTCCTGTCTCAGGTCTACTGGAAGAAATTCCATCAGGAATAAGTAGCACCTATGTACTCTTATTTTATATATGTGTACTCTGTGCTGTTTGTGCGCACATAAATTATAAAATAAAGAAATAAAAAAATACACGATTTTCATGTCTCTTTCTGTATTTGCACGTGCACGTATAAATGAATATTACACATGCTAAGAGAATATTTTTGAAGTTCATTTATTAGGGTCAAAACCACAATACTTTTATATAAAATAATTATGCTATGTAAATTTTATGATATCGCGGCAACGTCTTCATTAATTATTTATTAAAACTAGAATGTTTCATTTTAATGTAAACTTAGGATATATGAACACTTAGTTTTTCTCTAGCATAATCATCAAGTGCTAAAACCGAGTCTAAAAAAAGGGTAAAAAACAATTAAGCCTTAGTCATTGTTTATCTAAAGAAGTTCCAGTGCGAATTCGTGGCTACTAATAATATTGTTGAAACAATAGAAAATTCCTCTACTTAAGGAAGTAGGTACGTAGATAATGTCCAAAAAGTCAGCTTTTTTGTTGTATTTTGTAACATTGAGTAAACCTTGGTGAGATATTATAATAATTGCCTCGCATCACGACGACTTTATGTACAAGACAGATTTTGATATAAAAAGGTAACTAGCCAAGATTACAGCATAACATTTTGGACAGTCACAGCATCTAGTGCAACGCCAAAGAAATCTAAAAAGATGTCGAAGTTTACCTGCATTATCCTCTGTGTTGTGGCTGCAAGCTTGACCAAGGTTTCTGTAAGTATCACCTCCAAGCAGTTCTTCAAAATCCCTATTGATGTTCAGAAATTTTCATGATCCTAGAATCTACTAGGTTAATTAATACAAAGTTATCCTATCTGCCTGGTGTCAGTTTCAATAATAGTGGCTGGTATCTAATTCTTATCATGTTATCTCAGCATGCAGCAGTTACTGAAGAAGAGAAGGAAGCCTTCCGTGAGGCGATGGCACCTATCATAGCAGAGTGTTCCGAAGAACATGGAGTGAGTGAAGCTGACATTAAGGCCGCGAAGGAGTCAGCCAGTGCTGATAACATCAAACCCTGCTTCTTAGGCTGTGTGATGAAGAAAATTGAAGTGGTACGTATAGAATGTGTGAAAGATTTGTGATAATTCGATCATCTTGCGACTTTTTCTAATAGATTTTTAAACAAAAATGTTAACAAATTTGAACATTTTCACTACGAATTTTTATTTAAACTATGAATATATGTAGAACAAACATAAATCAGTAAAAAGTTAACAAAGGCCCAGTGAATTATAATTATATGGATGAATAATTAGTAATTATTGTTGTCAATGAAAGTAAAATTGTGGACTTTTATTTACAGTTGGATGCCAAAGGCTTGTACGACGCTGAAACTGGACTTGGTAAACTAAGAAAGTTCGTCAAGGACGATGATGAATTCGCCAAATTCGAAGATATAGCCAAGAAATGCCTTAAAGGTTCGTATCTGGTCCTACTACAGAACCGTCTCGACGACTCTATCCTTCATTTTTAAGAACGACAGTTTGCTTAACTAAATGGAAACAACATGTATTCGAGATGGTTCTACTAATAAATTCTTATTGTTTAGTAATAGCTAAGGTGTGTTATGTAAAGATATGGAGTTCCTTTTTTTAGTATTATCACTTTCTTATATATTGATTGTTAGTCATCAGATATTCTTAACTTTATTATTCAAATAATAGTATTAGTTATAATACCACAAAGACTATAATTACAGTGTGTTGGCGTTATATGTAGTTTACATAAGTGCCTAATATTTATTTACAGTTAATGATGAATCTGTAAGCGACGGTGAAGCGGGTTGTGATAGAGCTAAGCTTGTTCTGGGTTGCTTCATAGAGCACAAAGTTGAAGTGAGTATATTTTGAATTATACTTAGCACGAAATAAAGCTTATTATTCCCTAAAACAAGTCAGTTATGATAAGATTACAGGACAAAATTATTTATTCATATTCATCCTAGTATCTATTCTAAACTTTAAAAGCCCAATTATGTTTTTTATTAAACATAGTCAATTAGTTATGATATAATGGAGTTTTCATATCATTAATACTAATTTGCACTCCTTTTTCTAGATGCCGTTCTAAAGCGTTTGGAGATGCGGACAAGATTTAAAGGAATACCGAAAGAGGCACGAATTGTTTCTGTTTTGTAATTTATTATGTTTATTTAATTTGTAGTTAATATATAAATAAAGCAATGTTCATTTGATGTTTTGGTTTCATTCAAAAGTTTCAATACAAGATCATTCTCCTTTAATACATCTTCTCTTAGAATTCCCAGCTTTTTGTGTTTCGACAGATTTGATAAATACTATCGTCAAATAGAAAGCAAATGAAGTATTTAAACAACAATTTAATCCAATCCAAATGTAACTTAAATTAACATAACATAACATAGTATTAGGGGTTCAATCTTAATTCTTCAAATCATTTCATATGTTCGTAGAGTGCGTCAGTTATCTAAAATGGTGCTCAGTTAGATGTCGAAGCCAAACTGAAAAAAGAAGAAAATGTTAAGTTGATTATTACTCAAATCGAGTTCTTAAGATCTTCTAACATATTTTTAGATATGTACTTAGTAAGCAATAAGAAATTTGAGTGACTTTCTGTTTCATAATATTAGATATTATCAAAATCAGGCTTAAAAGTGACGAATACTAAAAATAACAAACTTTATTATTTAAAAGTTCTTTATTCTTCGGTAATGTCTGAACAAAATTTTTTTGACAGCAGGTTACCAGAGTAAAAAATTAACAAATAAGTTAATTTTCTTCTAGATTTGGTTACTTTTTTGAGCACCCTTTTGAAAAACTGCCATTTAAAACATGCTGAGATTGTTTGAGGCACCTGAGAGGTACATTATACAACTTCAAAGAATAAGTTATTTAAACCATTGCTATTGCTGTTTGGTTTTGTTTGAATGTTAATGAAGACTGCACGGTTGGTGCAGTGGCTGGACAACCGTTTGCCGCGCAACGTTTAGCGGGTTCGATTCCCGCACGGAACATATCTTTGTGTAATCCACAAATTGTTGTTTCGGGTCTGGGTGTCATGTGTATGTGAACTTATATATTTGCAAACGGAACCACGACACAGGAGAAAATAATAGTATAAGGCAAAGTTTAAAAAAAAGAAAAGAAAGAAAGAAAATAATGTCGATCTTTTCCAACGACCCCCCACTACCTAAATCCTATTAATAGTATGTATTATTAGAAAATAATAATGTTACCAAAATACGTACCTTAGAAGCGTTCTCTGTCATGCATTTATACGCCAGCATAGCGCGCTCACATCCAGCAGCACCATCACTGACCGATTCAGTGTTAACTGAAATTGTAATGAGGGGAGCATTGAATAAAAACAAATATACAGGTCAATTGAATTACAAATAAGACTATTGTATTTATGATTGATAAGTACTGTTCTTCATTTATATTTATGTAGGGTAATCCTATGAAGATTTCCTTGCTAAGAAAAGGAAAGTTCATCTAGCAGATCAACTCGAACTATTGCGATTCTGAATAAAAATTACCCTACGTATCAATTTGTTCTATCATTTATCATTGTTGGCGGTTTCAGTATGATGATCAATAAATAAATTTACGTGCATCATCACAATCTTACTCTTATAATATTAGTTAGATAAGACAGAGTTAATTTACTGTGTGAGCAGGAATGCAGATAATCTTCGATTGCCTTGATTTCTTCTGGATCATCGAATACCGCTTTAGCCATTTCGAGGGCGGTTTCTTTCTGCACCATGCCATTGTCATCCATCTGGAAATTATCAAGTTTTGGAATTATTTAACGTTCTTTTATTTTCTGATGTATGGCATCAGAAAGTACTCGAGTCGTATAAGTTTCAAACGTTAGAGCAATTCTGGAATGCTTTGTTAAACAAGCTTTGTTATTAAATACATATACTCGGTTTTATTAGTCTCTTAAAAAAATTGTTGGATAATAACGTCAGAGTGGCTAATTTAACTCTAAGAATGTAATCAATTATTCCATCATGGATCTTTACTTCAAATCTCGGAGCCATCTCAGTCAAATTGAAATAAGTTTTATAGTCAGTTTTGCCTTTTTCAGTTTATACTAAGTGGAATTGAAGATATAGTTAATTATACTTACAACACCAATTTGCTTCATCATGCACGCCAAGAAGCAAGGAGCGTTGGGACCAGTCGGGATCTTCTTAGCTCGGAGATTGGCGATATCCTCAGCTGTTATCATGGTGCTGTCTTTGTTACAAGACTTACCAATCGTCTCAAAGTGCTCATGAATTAGAGCTTTCTGTTCAGCTGTCATGGCCTAATTCAAAAAAGATTTGTATAACTTCCATAGTCTAATGTTCAAATTAAAAAAGATTTTCTTCTTTACATAATTAGTACTCGATAATTATAGCTTATTATTTTAACCAATAAGTGGCAATGAACAGTAAAATATAATGAAAAGTTCGGTTTAATAAAATCGAAAATGGCATTTTTATAAATGTATATAAAATACTAGTTACTTTATGAGGCATAGTATAATACTTACAGAAACTAAATATGGAGTTAAAGCACAGAAGTACAAACAATACATAAATACCGATGAATTGAACATTTTGAGTTTAGATATTTGGGACAATCCAAGTGTTCACAAAATGAAATCCAGAAACTTATGGATATTTTTTGGAGATTTCCGAATTTATATACTAACGAAGTAGTAATGATAGATCCCTTACTATGTCATTACTTTTCATAACATCAAATTAAGCATGTCACATTAGTACTAATAAGTAGATTTCAATGTCACGATGACTCAGTGATATGGGCTTAGTGAATTGTTGCCAAAATTGTCAGGATCATTATCCGATCAGATTCCAAAGTACAAGAACGTCTAATGATTGGCTTCTAAAATCTGGTAGAAGATGGTACCAATAAGAAAGAACCTTGTAGACTGTAAGTATTAAAATGGAAGTCGATTTTCTGAATCCTATTTCTATTTAATTTCTTCTGTGTGTGTCAATGTGCTGTCACATAGAAGAATCATGAGTGATCAAGATAACATTATTATTGTCTTTAGCAAATTCTGTGTTTTGAACGATTCCGAGTCTAAACCAGTGCAAGATTTAAACTGTTTTTTATTTCTTTTTGTGATAACACAAATTTTCTGCTATACAAAATACCGTATAACGTTTTGTCACGGGATGATTCAAATTATTTATTTGTCAATAATTTTAATGTTGTAATAACAAAAAACTATTATGAAACAAATAATAGCAAACAGGTAGATACTCATAATATTCGGGATATGCTAACATGGGCTTAAAAACTTCAGTGTAAAGTTGAAATTGCCATAGACGATGCTCATTTAATATTTATAAAATGATTGCAATAGTGTGAATGTTTTGTTGTTACCCACTGGTTATTCACAATTGCTGTTAACTCTATATATAGGATAATTTGTATCATTTGACACACTTGCTTTACAAATGCGTAGGATTTCGTTGGTAGACATGTTGAATTCGATATTTTTTCTGTTCACCTTTGGTGTTTTCTCTTTATATGCTGAGGTTTGTTTTACCCTCACTAATCACCTGACATTTATTAAAGAAATTCAAAGCCTCTATTTACGTAAATATTAATGAGATTTTCTTTTCCAGGCTTTATCGATGGACGATCTTAAGCAGAAGTATGTGGACAACATATTGGAATGTAGTAAGCAGTACCCTATAGATCGAGCAGATGCAGAACAGCTCCAAAACAGAATTATGCCTGATAAGGAGCCAATCAAATGTTTGTTTGCCTGTGTTTACAAACTGGCGGGAATGGTGAGAATTTATTTAACACTTTTTGTACATTCACTTATACAATGGCATCCTCTACCAGTCAACCGCAGGGTGATGTAGAGAAGTGTTACAGTCGGTTTAAAAAAAAACTTTGTATCTACTGAGAAACTATATACAATATACTCTATTCCCTTGATACATTGTTTAATGATTTGACTGCGCTGTCAAGAGGCTGGGTAATTGGATGCTGCACAATGTGTCGTGGGTTTGATCCCCAACGAATGTAGAAGTGATTTGTAAGTTTATAAGGAAATTTAATATTGCCTCTGTTTAAAATCTTTTTCGTTTTCGAAAAATGTCGTGGATGCTTCGAGGTCTAAGACGCCTGCTTCTCATGCATGAGCGTGCGGGTTCGAAAGCTACCAACAGCAAGTACGAATGTGACTTTTTCCGAGTTATATGTACTTTGTAAGATTATTTAGATACTACTGACAAATGGTAAAGGAAAACATCGTGAGGAAATCTTATAATTTCTTATTATAAGTTTGAAATCGTTAACCCGCATTGAGCAAGCGTGGTGAATAATGCTCAAACCTTCTCCGTGTGATTAGAGGCCTTTAGTTAGCAGTGGCCACTTAAGGCTGTCGATGAAAAAATCTTTTTGAAAGTAATTTTCAACCACTTTTTTGATACATTTTTGATACATCATAATTATATTACAATCCGTTCAGTCAATTCCATGAATTTGTACTTGATAGTTTGTATGAAAACCTATGCAATACCTATGCCTCTTAACTCAATCAATGCGCACACATAATTGCAAATAATAATACCTAGTTTACTTTTTGCTTCCGAATATCAAAGTCCACAAGCCACTGGACCTATGTAATTACAATAAATAAGGAACTTACGAGAATAACTAATTTAAGTGCAAGATATCACAAACATCATATCCATGCTTGGCAGGCGGGTAGCAGACTGTAGTTACTATCACAAACATCCATCATTAATATAATCCATTTGATCTGTCAGTAACATAACTTTAAAAATATTTCTTCCCTTCGTTGTCGTTTAACCCGTGGTCAGGTTTTTACATCAACTGATATCTCATAAAAACCACTTCAAATTACACCATTTTTATCATCATATTGTTATCACTAGCAGTAGATACAACAACCTAACTATAATAGGTATAAAATAGCCATAAAATAAATAGCTTTGAGCCTAATTATTGCGATTTCGGATCTGTAGTTTCAGTTTAGTTCCCAGCTTATGTATCTAAAATTTACACAAGGTCGTGTGATAAGTACACCAATTACACGGTTCGTAGGCAGTGTACAAAGCCTTCGTGGCCGCTATTACAGCGTGTGTAATGCTCTTTGCCCACCGGAAATGTATTTTCCTATGGAACTGATGATGGTCACCTTTGTGGTGACGTGTATTGAATATATTGTATGAAATCCATTTTTCTCTGGAGTGTTATTTATGGATGAAAAATTGTGATATATTTTAGGTTCAATAGAGAATGATCCAAACAAAATAAAATTAGGTAATCTACACCAAAATGAAATGAAATGATATTTATTTCTGCAAATAGTTTGCAAATGTTTGCTCAACAGTGGGCACTTATAGGCTGATGATGATGATGATGATAAATTTACACTATTCTTCTTGATTACAATATAAACTTCGTAAGTTATATATTTATAAATCGTGGCCTCACACTGAGACTTACGGAGCCACAGAGAACTTAATGGGTTACCGGGGCTCCGGCTCCGGCTCGAAGTGCAGGAGCTGAAATGGGGTGGTTTTTAGTTAGTAAGAGTCTGATACTCCCTCCCGCCTCACCTAGGCGGAAGAAGTCATTCGATGATATTACCCCTTAAAAACACACTAAGACTTTGCAGTTTCGTGGGTGTGTTTGTAGAAATATATTTTTAGATTACCTACTCAAAGAATTGTTCTGGAAACTTAACTTCTGACGCGCTAGGCAGCAGTCAATTTTATTGCAGCATTACACACAGCGACCACTGTGCCAACTGGTACCAACCATGCAGTAATTTGCATTATTTTTTTTTCAGATGAACGACCAGGGAGAGTTATCAGTTGAAGGTGTCAATGCGATATCACGAAAGTATTTGGCTGAGGATCCAGAGAAGTTACAGAAGAGTGAAGAGTTTACCGAAGCTTGCCGAAGTGGTAAATATTTATAATTGTCTAATTAAGTACATCAGTCGTGTAGTCATAGCAGACTACAGTACTATTGTCACCGCCCCTTCTTACGCCTTATAATGATACAAGAGCCCACTAAGAGACTGCAGATTTAAGAGGTACTGCACTCTCAAATAAACTTGACATCTCTAGTCTACAGGTAGTCTATAGTCTAAGTATGGAGACTATGGTAAACTCTCCTTTTGGATACCCATAGTCCAGGAGTTAGCTGTCAGAAGCTCTTGATATGTGTGATGTAAATTAAAATAATATGTATTTTAGTAAAACTTAGAAAACAGAATAAACAAATACCATCAAACAGTAGTACGACTAATAAACTTACAGTTAAGAATTTAATCATTTCTTCGATTTCTGCAGTGAATGACGCTCCAGTCAGTGATGGAACAAGAGGCTGTGATCGAGCGGCATTAATTTTCAAGTGTACCATTGAAAAATCTCCTGAAGTGAGTATAGTTTATTTAACTAAGTAATATGAGTATTTTTGCTACTTTGAGACAAACTTGTGTTGTAAACTTAATTGAAAGGAAAAAAATACTCCTATATTAAATATAGGACTATTTTTTAAGCAACATTATTAAGAAATTTTCGTAATAATGTTGCTTGCCGAAAGTAATTTAGCAGTAGCTCTTTTCTTTTATAGCTTGTTTCTTGAGAATCTAAATACATTTCTTTTTTTAATTAGAATATTAGTTTAAACTGTCAAACACCAAGCGGTCACCGGTGACCGCGACCTATTGTTCTTTAATTGTGTCTATAAAACCGGTACTCGACGAGTTAATTATGTTTATAATATTATATTATATTTCATAATTATTATCTTTTCAGTTCAACTTTGTATAAAATCTGAGCGACACGAACGACTGAACCGTGAATCCTGATTTCAAGAAAACCGAGTTTGTCTACGTTTATCATGTTCGTAGGAATTGTATCCTTTACTTTATCATTGTATAATATACACGTTTATTATTTTTTTTGAATAAAATCTTTTGAATTATTTCAAATTCGTATCTTATTTATTTGTTACTAAAGTTCAAAGTACGTTGCCGTTGGCCGGCTGGTCGCAAGTGCGACTGCCAGGCAAGGAGTCACGGATTCGATTTCCGGGTCGGGCAAAGAATTACTGGGTTTTTTAAAAAAAAATCTCAGTTGTAGCACGGAGTCTGGAAATGTGCCCGGTATCTGGCAATAGGCTCACCCCCTATTACATGGGACTCATAACATTAATAGTGAAAAGTGGGTGTTACATCTGTGTGCACCTCTGCCTACCCCTTCGGGGATAAACGACGGGATATTATGTTATGTTGTTATCTTGTATCTAACTTTGAGATTCAAAGGTCGAATAGGTTGGTAGAAATGCAGATTCGATCAACACAATATATCTACAAAAATGGAAAAGATTCTTATCTATCAACTGGACAGTAAAATCTCCAAATTATAATTAAAGCTATAATCTACGTAATAACAACTAAACTTTAATGTTATCGTAAATATATAATTTCCTTTAATACGAGTATTTGCAAATTCAGTATTTATACGCGGTTTTATTTCAGTTTTGATTAGTTCTGGATTTGATAGGACATCGCTATGTGGAATTTATTGGTTGTGTTTTTGGCAATATGCAGCTGTGTGTATGTGAGTACCAACACTATTTTATCTTATTCTATATTTGAAAATGTTATCCTAATTATTATTTGCTCATATCTCTTTAGGCTCGAAGAAGATCTAGTGGTGCTGAGATAAACGTATGTTAATAAGTGGCTTTAAAATAACTAATCGGTAGAAATAATATTTGCTTGTGTTGCATATTATTTTTCTAATAATGTTTTTAGGTTCAGTAAGTATCTTAGTATTTTTTTATTATTTTGTCGCATGACGAGTTGTTCAGCATTATGTTCTAAAATCGGGTCTAACCGACATTTGTAAGTACAAAGTCATATATAAGTAAGAAATCTTGTTTACTTCTCATAGTTCTTTTGGTGACAACCGAGAATTTTGTTGTCACTGCTGTAAATAGACAACCGTTTTGATGTAAATATATAGAGGTATATTATGTATAAGTCTTTTTAGTAGCGCCAGTAATTCATGAAGCAGTAAATATTGAACACAATGTTCCTGATTCTAGTACTTAAGAGCAAAAATCCATATTTTCATAACTTTATTGACTTGACTATTCGCTATAGGGTCTAACAGAAGAGGAGCTTAAGATGGAGTTCACAAAGTTGATAATGAAGTGTAACAAGGATGGAGAGGTGGACATGACGGAACTTGTTCAGCTGCAGAACTACGTGGTCCCGACGAAGCAGTCGACAAAATGTGTTCTAGCATGTGCTTATAAGGCTGCAGAAGTCGTTAGTATTTTTTTGTTAATGTATTGTGATTAGATTACCTAAACAAAAAGGTTTGCTCAGCGATATTACTGATGTTAGAAATTTTCAGTAATAGCATACAGTTTGGAAATGTGCCAGGTTCTTACCCTCTGCTAAGTGTACGAAAAATAATAGTAATTCTAATTGCCAAGAATGGGTGTTCTAGGTAATTTTAAATTAAAATCTCTGACTGCTTCATCGTGAAAGGTAAATTTAGGTTTCATACGTTAAAGTTGTGTAATATGCTTCATTTATGTTAGATCACTTATAAATACATAACATAACATCACGCCTTTTATCTCTGAAGAGGTAAGCACATTACGGCACTTAATGCCACTACAATGTAACACCCACTTTTCACTATTTATATTATGAGTCCCATGTAATAGGGAGTGAATTATTAATTGCCTTATACCGGGCACAATTCCAGACTACGCGCTGCCAGTGAGTTTTTTTTTAAAAACCTAGTCGCACTTTACCCGAATGAAACCCGGGACCCCTTGCCCGTTAGTCGCACTTGCGACCACTTGGCCAGCGAGGTCGTCAAAATCACTATTAAAAAAGGATAAAAATGTATTTAATCACATGTAATTTCAGATGAATGCTAAAGGCGAATACGACATCGACCATGCATACAAAGTAGCAGAAATGATGAAGAACGGAGATGAAAAACGGCTGGTTAATGCAAAGAAAATGGCAGATCTTTGTGTAAAAGGTAACAAACACTCCCTTTATGCATAGAATACCAAACAAGTGAAATAAGTCGCTTATTATTTACCTCTATACATTAAAAAAATGAAAATTATCAAACTGCTAAATTAGATCTTGCTTATTATCAGGACATCATGGTCTTTTATTTAAAAGGTTGTCAATAAATATACGTAAAAAAATCCACAACAGACATTAATTGAAATGTATTATTTGTTGTTTTTAGTAAACGAACTCAGCGTATCTGATGGTGAAAAAGGTTGTGACCGAGCAGCTATGATATTCAAATGCACAGTTGAAAATGCACCCAAGGTACGTAAAAAATATTTTATTATTAAAATTATTTGTATTTGTTTGTTGTTCTACGAATAGATCTCATATGTCAGTCATGTCAGCCATATGCACCTTTTTTACATTCCATTTCATATGCAATCTATTTATCTATCCATTTTATCCCTTATTTATGTCATCGTCCAGTTTGCATGCATAAAAAAATTAAAATCGGTTTTCTAATAAGTATGTTTTTTGTTTTCAGTTTGGATTCAAGTTATAAATAACAATATGTCGTGATGCTCCACAGTATTTATTTATGAAATAAAGTTTTAATTACATAATTATCGTCTTTAATTTTAATTATTTATTTTTCCTTTAAAGTTTGGTGCAATATATATATCACTGATTTACTACCTCCTCGTTCTAGACATCTTATTACCGGACACGTTTCTTGGTTGAAAATATTCTAAGCACTATGTCGGATTTGGCTGGCGTGTGGTGGCAGGTTTCTACAGTATACGTTATGGACTACTAATAGAAAAATCACTGATAAACAATGGACAATAGTGAAACTTAGTTTGGGTTACGATGGGGCCTATTGGTTAAAAGCCCCTAAAATAAAATAGATTAAAAAACAATATTCAAACTTGACGACATGATTTATGAACAGCCGTAGTAGTTTTTTTATTTTAACGCCACGCCATCTATTGTAAACATAGTAAAGTTACATCTCTGTTCACTAAGTTACTAGTCAGTCGCCATGCTTGAATATGGTTTACCGTTGGTAGTTCAGTACTTATCCAATAGAGGGCGGTTTTTTAAAAATGGCATTTAAGTAACGAGTCATAACAAAATTATGGTCATAATAATGAACATTTTATCTTAATGATATTACTGGTGAATTGTAGTAAGTCTAAAATAATTTATGTATGTAGTAAATATGAGCAAATATAATTGGAGCAAAGTAGGTAAGTAGGAGTTTCAATGTTTTAAAAGCATTATTTCTAGCGAAGCTAATTCCTAAAATCACAATATTTAAAGAATTCTTTGATAACCCAAACTTTATCTTTACAATTTAATATCCATAACCAATAAGAACGGCATACAATAGCAACGTGTCTCACCATGACTCACACATGGGCATTTTAAAGCAAGTTTTTCAACACCCCTTGCGCTTGAGCACGTTCAGTCTGCTACGCGTGTGCGCACACATAGAAAGGTCAACAGGCAAGCAACTTCATTCAAAACTGTCTCGTGGTTCGAACTTCACTCGTTTCGTAAGTCAAACACCGTATGATCGGGCATTTGATGACGTTTGACCAAACAATTGTCGGTTTATAGTTTGTTTTGTCAATATTTCTGTGTGTATTGTTTGTGAGTGGAGTCATATACACTGTACAAGTGATATATATGGTCCAGTGAGGTTTTGAGTATCTCATCGTGTAATTTCATCATTAATTCTGCTTTATTACCAACCAATGAGCTGTTTCGAGCCTGTTTTTCTACTGTTTTTGCTGTTTGTGTTCTGTGTTTTAAGTTGTAAGTGCAGTGTTCTTAGAAAAGGACTGTAGGTTGAAAAATTTGACCATTATTTTGGTGAGTACTATGTCAATTATTTCATATTAGCTAAATTCCAATAGGATTTTATTTTTACAATAAATAATGTTAAACTACAGTATGGTATATTAAAAAAAAAAATCAACTGTATTTATAAGCTACTTAATTAATTATATTTTAATCAGTTCCATTAGATGTTTTAAATTTTATTGGAATAGGGATAAATCTGTTATCATTATCGTCATAAATTGGAGTTTCTGGTTCTTGATTGGTGTTTCTCTTGACTTGGTAATGCACTTTTTTAAAACTTGTATTAGTTTTCATGTCCTTGGGATTATTGAATTTTAATTGCCTCCTTTTAGCGGTCTCAGTAAAAGATGCAATTTTTAAAACTCTGTTTTCTTTCGTTTTTTCCCTTAAATTCTCCTTGATTTGAAAATTTTTCCCGTCATTGCTTAGTTCTTTTATTTTTTCTTCATACTTTGTGAACATGTCAGACGCATAATCAGGTCCAGTTATTTCGTCTGTGTCTCGTCTTCTACGTTTACCAGATATGACTCCAAGCTGTAGGAGAACTGGATTACTAACTAGTGCTGCCGCTGCTCCCAGGAGTGCTATTCCAGCAATAGGCCACAGCACTGCCTTTGTTGCTAGCGCCTGTGAAATGAGGAATTGAAAATTATATCAGATAAAAATTTTAAATATTTATTTAATTCATTATATATATATAACAACAATGACATCCAGAATACCAATGGCAATGATAGTTTTGTGATACAAACACGTTCTGGATCTCTAAAGTAGCTAATCAACTTTCATTGGTACCAAGATACACTAAAAATCTTATAGGATTTTGTAATTAAGAAAGGTTTTCAGCAATACCCATCAATACAGTAAGAACTGAATGAATTTTGAATAGAGTATAAATTATAGCATGCGAAATTCACATAATGTATCTGGCACATTAACATTGTTTTAAAAATATGAACGAACGATAGTATACACATAAGTACCCAGTAGGACAATGTTAATGAAGCTCCATACAATATTAAGTTACACTTATTAAATGAATAGGTGTAATAAGCAGTATCTTATCGTGGAGGTACAAATGCGTAGGTTATTTGATCTAAGAACAACAGCAACCTATTTCCCGAGGAGTAATCAATTTTGCAATATTGCAATGATAATTTTAGATTCTTTACCATTTTTATTTTACAGACGTACGTAATTGTACCACTATCATGTATACAATAGGCTGTGTTGCTGTGTTAAAAATCTTTCTAGACTCTGAATCAATCCCATCTTCAATCTTCATCCTCAGGAATGATATCGGGCCAAAAACAATTCCAAAAATCTGTTGAACTTAAGACAGTCTTCAAAGAATGCGATATTACGATCAGAACGTGCTGAGTTACGCCTTTAGACAAATCCAGCATTTTGTATAAAAGGATATGCCCTCAAGCTATCAGATAAAAATATTTTTAAACATCTTACAATGTTACTAATAACCAAGTACCCATTGAACCTTCAACTTCAGTTCAGAAAGTGGTTTGCAACTATTGTTCGTCGACATCACAAATGACAATTGTTCTATTGATCCAATGAACAATAGATGTAGATCAGACACCTGTGACGGATGATAGAAATTATACCAAGAAAATTCAGTGCTAAGTAAAACAAGAAGTTTGTTTAACAATACTGGACGATTTAACCAAATCTGACCTCAGAGTGCCCCTGGCATCATCTTCTTTAAGTTCAGGAGTATAAAAATATACAAAATCAAATCCAACTGTACTCGCTTCAAATCACAGTACTTCATAACAATTTGCTTTATGAACCTGATGATTAGCTCTTGTTTAAACGGTTATATTAATAACATAAGTGGTATTGGCTACTGGAACTTTTACAAAAGAGCAGAAACTATCTTCAATATTATGATCCATACTTACATGTTTATAATGTTTATCATAGTGCCCATGATGATGACCGTGACCATGGGAATCGTGATAGTCATGGTGATCATGCGAATCGTGATGGCCATGATGATCATTGTGGTGATATCCGTGATAGTCATGATCAAAAGAAGGAGGACCATGACCATCTGAATGGGGGTCATAAAGATGGTAATCGTGACCATGTGTGTAATGAGGACCCTCTTCATATTCATTTACTGTGTAACCTGAAAGAAGAATATGACAACCACACTTAATTTTTTCAAATAATCTGAGAAAATTGACACATTTATGTTAGTATCAAAAGAGGAGGATTGCTGTCTAGTCCTGAACATTAATTATGTTCGTTATTTAAACAGTAACGTGACCAGAGACAGAGAAAGGCAGAGGATAATTTTGGAATCATACAGTAATCTAATGAAGGTGTTCTATCATAATATTTTGAATATTGACAGTATAAAGGGATGTGAAGAAAGCAGTTACGCAGCAGTTAAGAGATAAGGTCTATTGTATTAGATACTGTTATAGTTATGATGGTACATGATGCAGTTAGTCAGACAATAGTGCTCACACTAATTATTACCGGTGCAATTTAGTTAAGAAATAGGTATAGTGACATAACACCAGAAGCACACACTAATATGTTACAAACAGGAACTGAAGTGGCCGATGGAGAAATAAAAGGAAATCTTGAAGATAAAATTACTGCCATTAGAGTTATATCGGTCTTAGAACAAAATGTGGATGAATAAGATGTTACTTTTACCTGAATGATCATGATAAAGCAAGCCTCGGCCATTACTTGAGCTGGACAATGCACTGTCGGGTATTTCCTGCAAATTGGCAAAAATGATTCATGCGTTTTTATCAGAAATGGTCGATTTTGCTCTTGTCTTATTAGTACCAATAAGGAAAAGTGGGTATGATGAGATACATTTTCAATTGAAAATCTTTGAATTCGTCGCTAATACTACAGTTACATGTTATCATCGACGTTTACAATGAATATTCTCAGAGTTTTATTTTCGTCATTGTTAAAATGTGCATTCATGTTCAATCATTTAATTTCATTAGAACCTATCATCTTCTTCCTATTGAAATAAAAAGTAATATTCGATTTACAAGACGTTTCTTTCTGATAAATTAATTAAATACAATTAACCCTTGGCTGCGGTCCGATGATTTGATACGATCGTCTGAACACCGCCCCTTTTCACATGGCCCTCAATGTTTCTACTTCAATTGATGGCGTTACATAGCATTGCTTTCATTTTAAAATGTCCACAAAGTTATTACCATTTACGGGAAATATTGTATTGACTATTTATTTTTACTTCTTTGTACGTTGAAGTTTTTCTTGTGCAGAATTTAAAAGTGTCATACGTGCACTAAATGGTATTCAAAATATTATGATTTAGTCTGGCAGTATTATACCTACTTATTTCCATTCTTCAAGAAAGTAGGCATACGTCCCAAGTCTTATTTAAATATTTGAATACAATCCTCGTCTAACTAGTCATGAATACAATTCGAAAGGGTGTGAGTCATGTATTTTTTTCCCATCTCATATTGAGGTTTCGTTTCGAAGCGTTATTCATTACTACGGGGAACCGATCTGATATCTTACTAACTGTTGCTCTGAGGTCGAGGCCGTCACGGGAAAAGATTCTCAGCTATGCATCTTAAAATCCCTCTTTCAATGGCAAATTGTTCTCATAAATTATTATCTCTACACGTACATTATATGTTAAAGAGTTTAATGAACTTTTCATTTTAATATTTCATTATCATTTGATATGTTTTCGTTTTTAGAGGACTATATACTATAAGAAGGCTATATATAGACTATATATATATACTATAAGAAGAAATTTTGAACTACCTACTGCAGGTTTTACTGTAAAATGTGTATGCCACTTTATTTAATGCTGTTATGAAGTTTTATAAATGAAAATAAAAACAAATGACACTGATGCTTAAGAAATTATGGTTGTAGGTCAAAGCATTACACAGTATTCCTTGTAGTATGTAGGTGACAAATTAAGGACATATTGGTATATAAAACTGGGACACTGCGATAAGCAGCTGATAGCTTGAGTTATGTAGTCGCTGATCACATGCATTTAAATTATACATAAATAGTGTAACTTTAAAACTACCGATGTAATTTTATATTGTATCGACTGCCGGTTGAGTCACATTTCCGTTCCAGCAAGTTTATCAAGAATGTGGGCCATGTCAGTGATATTCCCACAAGCAGCCTCGGCCTGTCGTATTTCTGCATTTGAAATGTGCTAAATGCTGTCAGTTATGCGGCGAAGTAATTGCGCCCGGTTTAAGTACTCTCGTTATAAATACAAGTTAGCCCTTCGACTACAACGCGGCCCTATTACTGAATATTTATCAGCAACATAATTACGGTCGAGTCCAATGGTGTTATAATTTTGAATGATAAGAAAATTATGAATTGTTGGTATTCCCACCTTGAATTTAATTGGGTTGCTGGCTGGTGTAAACGTTGCATATTTTACTAAATCTTCCTTTTGCAAAGTTTTCACATTTGTTATGTTCTGGAATTAAAACGTATTGTTTAACAACTTTGTTTATTCTCTTAAATTTATTTTAGAAGTTGCTTCTTTCACTTACATTTACATCTGTTGCTGCATAATCTCTAATGTTTGAATTGAAATTCTTATTAGAAATAGGATCACATTTTGCTATACCATAAGTAGCAGTCAAAACAAAGCTGAGTAAGATTCGAAATTTGTTAGACATGAACCACATAGTCCTCACACTAATCACAAACACAGAAACACAGAAAACCAACAGGAGACTTATGAGTACAGAAGTAACTATGACGCTGGAGCGGCTAATACGGTATTCTTTATAAAAAATGGCAACGAAGAAGAGGGGGCTGGTTTGGATGACAATTTGATAGTAGACCAAACAATGGTGCAGTCCAAGATATGGTCACAGCCTGTTGACTCGATTGCGAAGTCGTTTCTCTGGCTTTGTTCATAATAAATTATAATGATGGTCATGTTTGTTGAATTGTTTCATGGTGGATGCGCATTGCCTCGGATGCTTTTCAAATTCCAGAGTATGTGCGTTTTGTTGAAGATGTAATGTGACGTGATGGCGATGAGAAACAAGATAAACTTTGTTAACGCAATGATGATTAATTGGTGGGAAATTTTAATGTTGATGAAAGATCTAACAATGATGTTAGAATGTTCAATAGTTTTTATTCTAATTGTCGGTACTTCGAACATGCTTTAAACAGTCAATGGTTTTTTCTATGAGAAGATCCTTTTAGAAAGTACTGCAAAATGCGATAAGTAAATGCATTAAAATTAAATTTAGACGTACATTTCTAACAGAAATGCGGAGAACCTAACGGGTTACCGGGGCTCCGGCTCGAAGTGCAGGAGTAGGAACGGGGTGGTTTTTAGTCAGTAAGAGTCTGATACTCTGTCCCGCCTCACCCAGGCGGGAGAAGTCATACGATGATTTTCCCTCTTTAAAAAAAACGTACACAAAGCACCGCTAATTAGTTGCAGCGCTACACATCGACACAACTATCATTTACACAATATACATGTGTGGGTAATTTCATATCAATAGATATGTATAGAAACATTCGTCTATCACACACATCTTGGTATTTAAAAATCATTTTTGTGTCGGTATACGCAATAATTTAGTAAATAAGTTTAAATAAAAACGAGGGTAAAGATAAAATTACTCATAACAAACTTTGAATAAATCGAAATCAAAAATAATGAACGATCGAGCTATACAATACCCATATAAATATAGTGCTTTCTCATTGTAATTTTATGTTACTGAATGATATACAATATTTCGATGATCTCATCTACAGCGCGCTTGGCGCAATGGTTATCGCCTCCAATTGTCAAGTAAAGTGCCGCCGGATCGATTCCAGCATTCACATGTTGTTTAAGAATTAATTTATCAAATATTTGATTTGATTTGAAATTTGAAATTGAAATTAGAAACAATTAAATCTTTTCTTTTTTTTCCTTTCCTATTGTTCTAAATCTTATGTTAATTTGAATAGTAAATACTTTAGATTTATTTATACATATAATATTTTTTATTTATATTTTAGTTCTAGTTATTTATTTTTTAGAATAATCTCATTTGCTTCATGCATTTCAACCAACTTAAATAAGATAAAAAACAGTAAAAAAGTAATTAACTGTGATTTCTTAATGGTTCGATACCTGAGTATACCTCTATTTGCAATGTTTGTGGCGACCATAGAAATCTCGAGTCATTTTATTTTACCCGCTTATGAAGTAACTACCGACTATTTAAAACATGTTTTTCAAATCACCCGAATTACAAAATAATTGCGTTCTTAGTTGTCAATTTATGAGGATTTCATAGTTTATTGCTACACTACTTATATTCGTGTGCAAAGTTATTTTTATTTTTACAAGATATTCCAACACCTATCAACATTTAAAAAGGCTGAAATCATTGTTTTGCATGAGCAAAACATAACTAACAATAACTGAAATAGCAAGGCGTTTAATGATATCGGTGAGTAAATAAGATACTACGTTGTTATTCTAAATAATATTTATTTCATTTTGTAACTCGACACACCTATCAATTTTTGCACTAGAATAAAATAATTATTGCAACTTATTATGAAGTTCAATATTATAAAGATATATTAATAATTTATTATTAATTGTATTGTAACTTGACTTGTTTTTGTTAGGAGTGTTTCTTTAAAACATATCTGGTTAGGGATTTTTATTCCTTACGCCACTACTTGATTATAAATTATTATTCTAACATTGTGTTTACTTATATTTATTATTATTTTTAAGTAACTTTAATTCCTGTAAAGTATTTCCTGGTATTTTAAATACTTATTTGTTTGGTATCAACAGAGGAGGTCCATGCAGTTATGGGTGCACAGATATGCCGAGACCGGTGACGTTGAACATCGTCGACGTGGGCCTAAACCAAAGGCAAATTCATCGGCTCGGCACTACGACATCGTAGCCAGGAACATGGCTGATCCGTTCCTGCCAACACGCACTACAGCACTGAATGTTTTAATACAAACTGTACGGAGACACCTGCATTCTGGTTTAAGGTGCAGGAAGCCAGAGAAGAAAATATTGTTATCTGTGGTTCACCAGCAAAAGCGCTAAGAATTTGCTAGGGACTTTATTAATTTTAATTGGGCGAACAGTGTAATCATATTGAGCGACGAAAAGACTTTCAAGTCGGATAAGGATGGGCGTAAAATATTGTGGAGAAAAGATGGAGAAAGGTATACGAATTGCAACCTTCTGCCTTGTAGGATCAGTGATTGTATTGATTTCGGAATCAATTATTGAGCCTGTCAAACTCTGCCTTTATTAAAATTAACATAAAATAATGTTTAATTTTTTTAAGAATATTAAAATGCTGTCTAGAACATACGGTGAAGTGATGTTATTGTTTTGTGGTTAGAAATTGTCATAATTTCTTTCTATTCAACATGTTTATTCACTTCACTTTAATTTTTCATAAAAAAATTTATTTAACTGCTTTCGAACTTGATTTATATTATATTTACGCCCATCTTTAATTAATTTAAAGTTTCCCTGATTCTAAAGGTCATGAAAGTTAAAAGCATAGCATTCGTCACATTTTTTTTACTATCATACAGCCCACTGAATATTGAACCTTATAACAACCGTCGTAAAATAGATAATTAATGGAAGTTCAAACGACAACAAGTCGCCCATTTCAAGAAATATTATGTTGACAGTGTAATTTTTTACATGTTTTACTTGTTTATTACTGTAAAACTGTAATTTATTAATACATTATATTATTAAATTACAAAACAAGAATGTTGTTATTACTTAGGTAATAAAAAATGTTGCTGCCATCGTATTACCGCTGTACCGCATGATATTTCCCGATTCGACTATGAATTCGGTTTATTGTCATATCTATTAATTATGATTTAAAGAACTTTAAACTTAACATGTGGTATATAATTATTAGATATAAATATTGAATAAAAACAACATATTTGTATAATAAATAAATTAATTATAATAAAAAATAGTATTGTTTATTTACCAACTCATTTGCTTCTTTTATAGCCTGATATTTATATTTTATGACAAAAAACAAAAAAAAAATAAGAAAAATAACAAGGTAAAACAAAATAAACTTTTAGCTGGAATAGAACCCACATCATTGATCCTTGAAAGACGATAAAAGCGTGCCCATTAACCAATCGACCACGAGCACTACGATAACTACAGTGAAAATGTCGGGTCATATCAATGATTGTAAATAGTTTTAACCTTACCTATGCATTAAATTATAAAAATACGTATACCGACACAAGAATGAAAATACCAATGTGAACGTGGTGGAGGAATATTTTTATACACAGTTATATGAAATTACCCACACATGTACACTGTGTAAATGACAGTAGTGTCGATGTGTAGCGCTGCAACTAATTAGCGGTGCTTTGTGTACATTTCTTAACTTTGTTTTATAACTACGATTCAAAGCTTCTGGTTCCTTTAGAAACATCAGTCTACAACATGTGTGCCACCTCTGTCGTAAATAGAGCATATTGTGCTTAACACATCTCATTCTATTACATTATTCGTTAGAAATCCCACTCAGCGACCAGTAAGCGGCAAAGGAACAAAAACACATGTTTATACAACACGAACGTTTAGAAAGCAATGCATTTCCGTAGTGCATAATGCATTTTCTGTATACATTATTTCTAATTACCACTTTAATATTACATAATTAATCTTCTGATAATATAATAAGGTTTAATTTAGCTTGAAGATCTGATTTTGCAGTTGTTAGCGTTTGCTGTGTCTCATTGTGAACAATAGTATCGCACTTGCGTAAGATGTGAACCTACTAATGTACTAAGGTATAACAAATAGTGTTTAGAATACAATACTATGAAGAAACCTGTTATTTTGTCATTTTAATGAAATAGCACTTAGTATTGTTACTAGAACAGCTGTTATTTTCTTCCTGATTGTTTTTTTATTAATGAAATGCTTGGAAATCCTTTAAAATGAGATGTTTTACTGGTTTTAACTTACTACCTCTTTTAACACATTTGATGACAAATGGTTAATCACGCTCCAAGTGAAGGGTGAGATTTTACAAAACAATTATACTTATATCATTACTAGGAGAACAATTTTAGAAGATTGCTTTTATCTTGATGCCATCTTGTTCACAATTTATATTTCATGTAATCAACTCAGCTTGTACATTTTCTCCGAGATTTCCGAATACGCTCCGTGTTTCGAATATAACTAAGACACCCAAAACATTACGGGTGAAGCCCGTTTTTATTAGTTTTAAATTATTTATTTCGCGGCAACAGATTTACGATTGGCACCGCGATATATCAGGCGCCCGCCAATAAAATTCACTCGAACCACAGAATACACTTCACTAGAAGTGACTGACGTTCTAACATAGAAATCATACAATATACATTTATTTCAGTTGTTATTTCTAAGAAGGACAAAAATGTTACACGAAACATTATCATTAATAAATATTAACTTAACTGGTATTACAGTTATGTAAATCTTGTCTAACGTAAATATAAATAAGATCTTTTCAATTATGGAAAATGCAAACCCACGCGATTACTAAATTAGATATCTTTATGAAAATAACCAATAGAAATAAGGTATTCTGTGAAATAATTACGATTCAACGTGATTTTTAACTGTATAACTTAA